TTGACTCGGTGCAAATAGAGTAATAACTGATCAAGACTAAATAAGAACTTTAAATATATTCCAAAACATAGGCAACAGAACAAGAATAATCTGCTGCTGTAGATTAAAGTGTTCAGTTTGAAATTCCCCTGTTGGTTATCTGTACTGACAATTCTGTGTAGAACCATATCTGTTGCCTCAAGTTTTCTTTATCTGGGTGGAGATTATCCAGCATTCACTACCATATAGGAAGACTCTTTTCATGAAATACACTGGTTTAAAGTTTTGGCACACATCAGTAATGGTTTTTAGCTGAGGATCATTATAAGTTTCAGGTCTTTCAACATCGTACCCATTCTCCATGTTGACCCAGCCAATACTAATGGGCTATCAACTTGGGTGCCATCTGTCTGCTACAACTGTTCTCATAGCATTATGCACATCTATTCATTAATTTAGCATTAGTCAAACCAATATTCCTTTATGAAACAGTTCTTGTTAAAGAATTTGGTATAATTCTAAAAGAAATCTTAGAAAAAAAAAAAAAATCGTTAAACCAGGTTCAAATTTCAAATTAGTCTGTTGCATTCACTTTCATATAAATGCCCTTGGGAAAAGCATTAATCAGTCTCTTCTTCATCTTGTCCAATCATGAGTTAATAGCAGGGCAGACTGATCTCTCTAGCTTTAGAGTGGCAAGAGGAAACCACTGTATTTCCAGAGTCACACACATGAAAGGAAGTCATGGAGAATCATACATTCAGAAGATGCATGGCATTTACATAAAAAAAAAAAAATTCTTATGATTTTACTACTAGATTCACTTGAGTAGTTTTCTACACAAATGAAGTAAATATTTCTGGCAGTAAGGAAAATATTGAGAGCTAAATATGCTGAATTTAACGTTTCTGGAGAAGAGGTAACACAATCATGTGTTCCATAACTCAAAGGTTGTCAAGGGACATTTACTACTGTTATAGCAGCAGATGGCCTGACAGAGCCCATCTCTCTTCAGGCTGGTTTTGAATTCAGTTGTCTTACTAGGCTGGCGACCATCCAAGGCTGAAGAGTCAAGTCTATCTGCAGCACCTAGATCTAGATGACTAAAAAAGTAATGTTGTGGAGGTAAATGTAGTAGCAAACACATTATACTCTAATATTGTTAGTGTGGCTTAATCATGTGCAATAGCTTAATAGCAATCATTTTGAATACTAATTCTGAATACCGATTGATTGATTTTTTCAAAGAGGTTGTCTTGTAAAATAACACCATATTAGGTTTTAATAGGATTAATTTTGCTTAACAAGAAAACTGAATTCTAAACCATAGAAGAGAGAACAGGAAGCCACTCTGCTTTCTCAAGAAAGCATGGCAATTCACAGATAATGAAGAAAAGGAATCTGTGGAGAGCCATGATTGCCCATGTACTAAACAGACATGACATTTTTTAAAAGATATGTGAAAGTGAAATGGATAATAAAAAAAAAAAAAAAAATCACATCATTAGGGTTGGTAGACAAAGAAATCTACAAGCAACTGAGTGGACAGGGATAAATAGGATTCCATCACATCAATCATTTCCATTGAGGAGGCCAAGCAAATACACACACAGAGTTACATCAATAAGTCTGTAGCATTATCATAAAAAGTGATTTATGCAACAAAAATTTATTTTTCAATATAATTTTTTTTCTCTTGTCAACACCCTTAATTTAGTCATGAATTAGGACAGATGAAGCATAAATTGAAAATTTTTTGGTCAAAATTCAACCAAAAACTTTATAAGCTGTCGACTTATTGATGCACATTTCTATGTATTACAAAAGCTGGGAAATGTCTGAAATTCAAACAACAAATCTCACACAAAAAAAGCAATTAAAACAAAATTTGTGAATTAAATTTTAAAAAAAATGTTTTAATCAAATATATGAAAAACATTATACAAATTCTTATGGATAAAATAAGAGGAATTAAATAAAATTTTGCATTTTATTTCCTTTGGTAATTTTTATCCTTAGAGAGAAAAAAAAAATATTCTGCATCAAGTGTCCATCTTTCTTGGCAGTGCCCAGTTTGTGTATGTGTATCGTGCATTTCAGTATAGTAGAATGATCCTAAAAAGACCAAATTCTAGGTGGAAAGAACAAGGGAACTGTCGGGCAGGGAAAAAAATTAGTTGCTTTCCTAAGTTGAATTAATTGGTCAATATGAAGTTCTGAATTTGAGCAAAATCTTTTTGTGTGTGTTGGGCTAGTAACTTAGGAAAATACATCTGGAAATTACAGAGACAGCTAGACAAATGACAGACATAAATATTCAATAAATAAAGAATGAAAGTGTGTGTGTGTGTGTGTGGAGGGGGGGGGGTTTAAAATAAGTTTCTGGTACACAGATATTTATAGTCATATAGCACCAAACATTTCCTTTTGAACTGACAAATATGAAAGTTGATAATTCTGAAAGTACTGAAACTATCAAATAGTAGATGAAACATTACTCAAGCTAATTTAACAACAGCACAGCCTGGTTGGTTTAATAGTTTGCTTTGAAAAAAAATAAAATAAAAATAAAAGTGTGTGGGAGTGGGGATCTGGATATATATACTAGGCAGAACCAAATCAAGGGTATGTTACCTTATGACATTTGCTACCAAAATATATAAAATAAAAAAAGTTTAAATCTCATTTTACTAACAACTTGTAAATATAAGGACTTTTTATTATTATTTAGTAATGATACATGGGACAAACAACTGCTTGCAAAAAGTTCTACCCAGGAATCTACAACAACTGATAACTGAACAGTAAGAGAATTTCTCATTTTTCCATCTGAAATCGGACATTGGAAAGTGCTAACCAATTACAGAATGGGTTAATATCAGTAACAAATAACAATTTAAGGAAAACAGTTACAAAGAATGAGGAAAAAGAAAATGGTGAAAGACAATTGGTTTACTTTTCCTTTTTTGCTAGAGAGATCACAATGTTACAGATTAGGCAACTTAAAATCATGAGGAACAAAGTACACAGTGGAGCAGGCATTATACAAAATTTACATGTACAAGAATTAAAATCTGAGAAAATATAACTTACAATGAAATGGTTAAAACATATCTGTATGATGAATTCTAATAGATCTGATCACTGGTTTGAATCCGACCATTGGCTAGATTATTAATATAAGTATATATACAAAAAGTTTGTCATGCGCATAATACTGCTTCAAAAATATTAGCAGCTTCAATAGCAACCACCACATTTCCAGCTGTACACATGAATTACAGACAAACCTCCAAACATTATTCTACAAGTACTTATCGGTACTAATGAACCAAAATCCAGTTCATATATTGACATATAGAACAAAAAATCTTCCAAGATTTAAGAAAAACCTTATGGCAAAATTGCTGCAATTTTTTGTCACAAAGAGAAGAGCTACTCAAAGTCACAGAGGAAACATTTCTGAGAATAATGAATGTCAAAATATTTTAATATAATACTGATCATGTAAAGATTATGTCAGACAATACAGAGCAAATGTCTTCAAATTCGTTAAAATGAATTGAAATCAGGATTCTAACATTACAATAAGCAGAGTAAAGGTAACAGCATTGGTCAATTAAAACACTGATTTGAAGCTAAAAAATACATCTTCGCAACAATTTGCTTTATTTAATGCTTTCAGTTATTTCCTGACCTGAGATTGCTAAAACAAAAGAGTTTGGTTCTATGCGACATTTTTAAAAGTCAGGCAAATAACTCTGGATTTTAAAATAAGGCAAATTGACCAGGTGACAAGGAGATTAACAAAAGCATCATGGACCAAAGACAATTGCAATATTAACAGATTTATAAGGAGTTGATCATCATATTTCTGAAGAAGAACCTAGGCAAGAGAGAAGTGGGGGATTGAGAAAAAAAAAAAAAAAAAAAAAAAAAAAAAGAAATATAGTTCAAGAATAAGAAGAGTATATGACAGTGTATGTTGAATGGGCAGCTACCAAGAAATGAGGCAAGCAGCAGCTATTTTTATCAATTAAAAAAAAAAAAAAAAAAAAAAAAACAAAAAAAAAACAACTTGTCATAATAAAGCAATGTTTTAATATTATTCAGCTGAACTTTCTCTAGCATTTTTTTTTGTTTTTGTTTAAAGCGCCACTCCAGCTGGAAGCAAGAGAATCTAAAAGTTGTCAAAAGGCAAATCAATGTCAGCTGAGAGACAGCATTTAAACAAAGAACTGCTAGAGTAAAGCCCACATAACCCACACTTTGTAGGGAACATGCAGTCACTATCCATGGAGGTCCTCCTCATATACACAACTCTTCAGATGCCAATATTGATAAATGATTTTGGAGTACTTTTCATTGGTCTTTTCTCCTCTTTCAATTTGCCTCTTTTTGCTTTTGTTTTCATTCTATGTAAATAATTCACATCATTTCCTTGACTCGTGGTTTTTTCTTTTTATATTTTGATAAAGTCAATATTTTGCCAATGAGTAAAATTCCTGGGGGAAAAAAGTCTGGTTAAAACAATCACAGAAATCAAAGAATTAGTTGGAATGGAATAAGAGATAGAGAAGTCTAACTTGATTAAAAAAAAAAAAAAAAAAAAAATTAAAAAGTCCTTTTATTTATTTACTGAAAATTAGAAATTCTTTTTAAAAATCAACTCAGATTTATATATTAAAGTCTGTATTTAGTCTGTAGTTACTTTAGAAGGGAAAAGGACAAAATTTGAGAAACTTTCCTATATTAAAAAAAAAAAAATATCACTGACAAACAGCAATGGATCTTATGGAAGTAAACTAATAAAAGACTGGAGGAAAAAAAAAAAAAAAAAAAACAAAAAAGGTCTGCATTAGTAAGTGTCAAGACACTAAAACATTAGATGCAGACATACTTACTGTGTTTGGTGGTAACAGTCACATTGATCAGCAGTTGTAACCAGTTGTCAGTAGATGTTGAAAATGGCAGTAGGGTAGCATTAAGAGGATCAAGCTTATGGTCATATACTAGATTACCTACCCAGCATAGACTAGGATAGAAGCAATGGCCCTTAACATAAAAAAAGACCAACAGAGGCAAATAAGAGTGGGCAGGTACAATGAAGTAGGCAACAATTTGTGGTAGGTACTGGGATTTGGGGAGGGAAGAAATGTAAAAAATGTGTGTGGATGGGGAGGGGAGATAATCTTTCCAGAGGCCTCTGTAACACTTAAGAATAGCCATTACTATAAAATCTGTAATGACTTTATGAAGGGGGTTTCGTTTAGAAAAAAAAAAAAAAAAAAGTCACCGAGAGATAGTCTTCACAAAACCCAAGATATTCACATCCAGTTCCTTACAACGGCGGATTATCTGCAAGACATTTGCCTCAGCTCCCAAAGTCACCTCGAAGAAGAGAAACTGTGTAAGAAGAGAGAAAGAAAGAAAGAAAAAAAAAAAAAGAAAAAAAAAAGGATAATATTGTAAGCAAAAACAAAGGAAAACAAAATAAGCATCAACCCAAATATACTCATAAAGATTGTTTTGAAGATCAGGTTTACATGATACATAAGTTATTAAATAAAAATTGTTAAAAAGAAATAAAAACAGGTAAAAAGAAATTGAGAAAAAAAAAAATGAATGAAGTATCTGCAGCTGAGATTTCTTGGTATTATTTCATATCAACTAATTTAGTTTTGACAAAATTCACATAAAAGAGGATATAATTACTCTAAGTAAAAGAAGGGGATTCTAAGTCAAAAGTAAATTTCAAAAAAAAAAAAAAAAAAAAAAAAAAATTGCAATCAATTGTACATAAGTTAAGGAAATAAAAGAGTATTAATTAAAAACCTGGCTTTCACACCTGTTTGTCACCCAATGGAGAGGTGACCAGTTTGGAGGATAAAATTATCTGAAAGTTACTCAGAAGAAAAGTAACCAAACCAGAATGAACATTAAATAATGTCCATGATAAAATCACAAGAGATTGATTGCCCAGAAGAATTAAAAAAAAAAAAAAAAAATTCTGAAAATAAATTTACATATATTTTAAGAGGAGTACTGAAAATCTCTTGGCCTGACACACTTCATAATATCTGACCAAATGACCAAGCCAGATTTTTTGGTGTGGTGAAGGAAGAATTTCTTGGTCAAACCAAGAAATTTTCAGCACAATCCCAAAGTTTGAAAGCAACTAAAATTGATTCTCTAGTTAAATTTGGTTTAAATATACCAATCTGTGGAGTATAGAAAGTTTTAATAAATAAAAAAAATTGCTGATTTCCTTTCATAAATGTTCAGATATGATAAAATTCAAGAAGTTTTTAAAATTGAAGAAAAAAAAAAAAAAAAATCCAAAACTGACCCAATTATAAAAAAACTAAAATTAGCTGTAACAAGAACACAGTATACAATTTTCCTTTTTTGTTTTGATATCTTTTTATGCAGATATTGTTTTTAACATTTTCTCTAGCAAATTTTATCTAATAAAATCCTTTGTGAGGAGGCAGTACCAATTGTCCTATAATTCCTTTAATGTCCCATTGAACTAAAGAATGGTCAACTTCTAACTAGTGGGATTAACTGTGAAAGAGAACCAATGATTATCTTTTAAATTATTGTCTTTCAATTACTGATTCAATTTTACAATCTTACTTGTACTTGACAGGTGAAATTTCTAGGATACATTATGAAGAAAGAGGGTCAGAGGGAATCAGTGAGTAACCTACATAATGAGTTTGTGTGAATGACTGACAGTGTGCACAAAGAACAATGATAAAGAACCAAATGTTGCTTAGAACTACAAGAGGCAGGAAACTGTGGACACCCATGATTGCCCACATGCTGAAGGGACAAAATATATAGAAGAAATCTAGTGTAGTTTTGTTTCTACCATACTGTGTGTGTATTTAATATGATGTGCAATACTTGATAGTCGGCTCAGACATGTGTGATGTTCCTCATGTCTTATTTTTAGTTAAGGGATCCATTCCTCCCACAACCAATTATATTCTCCACCATAACCTAATAGGATCCAATTTTCAGTATCTTTTGTTTCAAATATGGACTGGTGAATCCAATAAATGGAAAAGTTGGTGCAATCAATTAAGAAAGCATACTGAATATTGACACTTGCATAAGCCCAATGGTGCCAAGTCTTGTGTCTATAATCAGATACATAATCTGAGTATAAAGCTGCTAAGTAAACATTGAAATATGAAGTAGGCATGCCAATAATTAACTGAGTAACAGAAAACCTAAATTGTTGTACAACTAACTAAATATTCTAAAGTGTGATTGCAGTGTGTTTATATATATATATATATATATATATATATATATATATATATATATACTCTCACGTCGAAGTTCGACGATGAGGGTCAGGCCAATAAGTTTCAGGAAACTGACATCCCGACATCGGCACATGAGATTTGATTATAGTGGTGAAGGCCTCGTGCAGGACCAGCCACACTTTTGGAGGGACGAATACAGAAACCTGGTGCAATCAATGCCACAAGGTTCCCCAAACGACCCTCCGCAGGTTTTGAATTCAGAGTTGTCCTTCTCCTAGACCAGTTGCCATCCAAGGCTATAGAACCCAGTCTGTCCTGCTATTTTACCCATAGCTGGAGGGAGATGAAGAGGATTCATACCTTTCCCAAGGGTATTAGCACGTAAGTGAATGTAATGGATTTGACTGGAATTCAAACTCGGCTCATGTATTCCTCAATCCAAGCCGCTATCCATTACTCCACCGTGTTTCCTTATATATATATATATATATATATATATATATATAATAAAAAGAAAGAACAGTAAGATATATATATATATATATATATATATACACACACACACACACACACACAGATTTAATCTACTCTTACAAATTTTAATTCAAAAAGCATATAGAATTAAACACTATGTTTGTATTACTGAAAATAATGGTAACACTGGTTATGAAGATAGACAATAACAGCAATCAGGTATTTTCACATAAAAGGTTTGAGGAAGAAGAAAAAAAAAAAAAAGAGGAAAGGTTCAAAGTAATAAAAATCTTTGTTACATGTTTCCATATTGACACAGCATAGGGTAGAACTCTGACAGCTTTCATGAACAGCTGCTGCACCTGAAAAGAAGTAGAATTATACTGGCACATCCTAAAAGGTGGATTACAATGTCCTATCTACATAGAGAAATACAACAGTGACTAATGAAAAAGTAAAAGGAGGAAAAAATACAGAAACACTAACCTTTTGTTCTGCACATTTTTTGTTTCACAAGGAATAGGAAAGTGTAGAAATTCACATAGGCATTCAATGGTAATATGAACTATTAGACGTATCTTACATGCAATAATATTTTAGCAAAATACCAAAAGGAGGTTATAAATGAATATAGAGAACAAGTGTATCAATATATTGCATCCTATATTTACAAATGCATTTATACAACTTTTTCCATTATTTAAAAAAAAATTACAAACTAAAATTTTCAAACATTGTAAACATTCTAATTGCAAGAACATGTATTTACTGGCATAAAGATGAAAAGCCAGCAGCATCTGGTATATTGGCAACTTGCATTCTCCTTTAGAATTTAATGTAGCAAAGTTAATTTCTTGTGCTGCATTCATTGGCAAATAAATATTTCAAAGCAATGTATGAAATTACTAAACTGAGAAAGTATTGCTTATGAGATTTAACATCTTTTATTTAGAATTTGTAGGCCTGGGGGAGAGGGAATAGAACTTCATGCTCAGTTTTAATAAAAACAAAAATGTATTGACATCTGTTGCATCATTAATAATATTTATTTTTTTAAATAACATTTTATGAGGATGTATCAAAAGTATTTTCATCCTTTTCTTTTTTTAACAGACCTTTACTTCAAAGCTTATTTCATGAACACATTTAACATGCTCAAACACACCCTGTAAATATCAATGTTCAACCCACCCCATCTCTACTTTGCCATAATATATGACGACATCATCGCAAATAATGCAGGAAGGTCACAAAAAGAGAGAATGACCATATATGCTATTGACACAACAGCTCTTTGTTTGATCAGAAAATAAAAGTTTTACAATCTTTTTTTTCATCATTTTTTTGATGACGAGAAATCAAGCATCACAACAAAATGGAATCTAGTGAATGACAGCAACCATGTGAGGGATAATTCCTGAATATGAGGAAAAAAACAAAAAACAAACAAAAACCCAAGGAAGAAATGCAAGATGAATTTGAGAGACATTTCTGACATTAATAGTGATGAACTGACAGATTCAGATCAGGATAATGATGTCAACACATATGTATCAAATCTAGAATACTCAAGTAGAAAAACAATCTCTGATGTCAATTTGCCAGAATTTCTGAAACCTAATGGGTATGTACAATTATTGTTGAAGGAAGCCAGGCAGATTGACTATTTGTCTTTGACAGATTCTTTTTATGAAACAGAAAAGAAGTGAAAATGCATTCGGGGGGGGGGGGGCTATATGCAACTGCCACTTCTACTCTAACAGTTTTATTTTCTCGCATTTCCTGCCTGTAGAACAAGTGTGTGTACAATATGAATGCTAAAGGGTTAAAGACAATGAATGTACAATCTTCTCTATAAAATATGTGACTATCCTTAAACTGGTATTTTATATAAAGACACTGTGCCAGCCTACAGCATACCTCATGTTATGACAAAAAGAAAGGGGTGTAAATATAGGCTTTTTATTTGGAAAGAAACTCATTGCAACTGACTATTTCAGTACTTGCTAATTATTTAAAAGTGTTGTTGTAACTATATGTAAATATTTTTACATATAAGATTTCATTTTTCTTAGAAAAAATGAATCTCTTAGCATTTGTTAAAGCCTTGTAAATTTATTTCCTGCTTTACTAAATGTGTTAAACAATTTAATAAAAAAGTGAAAATGAAACAAGTATAATAGTATTAATAAAGTCTATGTAAGTAAACTTGTATAAAGGTATATAATGATTATACAGAACTTATATAAAAAGAACAAGAGTGATTCTTGGGCCTTTTATTGGATGCACATTTAATAAAAATAAAAAACTTTTTATAAGACCAAGAAAAGCAAAATTCAAATATAAATGCATACATCAAGACAAGCAACAATGCATTTAGGAAATCATATCAAAACACACTACAAACCTTGACCCAATAAATTTGGCACACCTTGTTCTTGCATTTTTTTTTATGAACACTTGCAACAAATCTCAGCTATTTTAACAGTATTTGCAAATGTCACAAGAAAAAAAAAGAAAAGAAAAAGTGGTTTTCATCAACCTCTGAGATTTTATCAAAAACAATGTTAAACTAGTTTTAAACAAGAATATTAAAAAGGCATAAAAAATTTGACTCCACATGTCCATGATCAAAGAATTTGTTTCATTTGTATGACTTGTTTAATTTGTGGATGTGCAGATGACGTAATGGATAGCGGCTCAAGGTGTGAAATTGGAGAGCTGAGTTTGAATTCCAATTAGTTACATTCACCTATGTGCAAATGCCCTTGGGTATAAATCCATCTCTACTCCCTCCAGCCATGGATAAATAGCATGACAGGACTGGGCCCTATAGCCTTGGTTGAAGGAAAACTGAATTCAAACCAGCCTGGAAAGGCTTGAACTCTGTCAGGTTAGCTTGCTCAAGACACACCACACTGCTGCAGTTTGTGATGCTCCTACAACTCTAATGGATTACAGAACATGTGAATCATAATAAGCAACAGTTTAATGTTTAAAGTTATCTTAGTTTAGATTTTCTATTTGTATATAGTCATATTCTGAGGTTAGGTTTCTTAAGAACTCAATTTTTCAAATTAAAAACTAAACAAAACGGATTTTTTTTATATATATAATATTTCTCGTACTAAAATATTTTTAAAGAGAAAATCAAACTGACTCTCTATATAAGGAATATAATTTTTTTTTTTTTAATTATTACCTTTTATATTACTGAATATTTTAAATTCAATATTTCATTTTAAATGCTTCTTTCCATCAAATCTTAAATTCTTTGTGAACACTTCTTTCAAGTGTATTATTATTCATCAAGTTTAATTCTGTATTTGAAATATTTGATGTCTGGACACTATTTTTTGTAAGTTTGAATAGTGGCTTAATTAACTAACAAGTATTGTTTTAGCTGCAATTAGACATTTCTAATAGAAAAGTAATATTTCAGAATGGCTAAACTATGAGCCACCCAGCTTCTCTCCAAACATGGTAGCTCATGCACTTTATTACTGATGAGGAATGCAATGTGGAAATAAGTTCACACAAGTTTCAAACTTAAATCATAACATACTTGAGCCAATTTCACCTTAAGATTTGTGGAGCCCTGAAAGGAAGTGCCATGCACATTGTAACTACAGTCAACAGATAATTCATTAGAAATACAGAAAATAAAATAAATAATAAGCTTGATAAAGAAACAGTCATGTTAAAATGCTCAGTGAGTGTGGCATGATGTTACAGGAAAAAAAAAAAAAAAAAAAAAAAAAAAAAAAAAAAAAAAAAAAAAAGAAAAGAACATTTACAAAATGCCCGAGATTTTAACAAATTAAACTACATTATTGTTATGGTGTATAAAAGTCACCCAAAAAACCCTTATAAATAAAGTAGGCACACAGCTTTCATTACAGTCTGTATACTGCAAATAGTGACAAGCAGTAAACAGTATCATAGTGCATTTTTAAAATGAGTAACAATCTACATTTCAAACAAAACTTTTTAATAGATGTATTAAGTATTTGTTTTTCTAATTATAATAGAAAAAATAATTTACAAATTGAAGTAATCCTTTTCATCAAGCATTCATGAGATAACAATTTTTAATGACACTTCTTTCCTCTAGATTAAATCATGATTTGTCTATATCTCCAAGATTATTGTAATTATTTACATGGTTCAGTGGATAAATGCATTGGTTGGATACAGTGACTTGACTCAAAGAGTTGAGAGTTCAATACCGGGTTAATGCAGTGATGAAAAAAACTTGGAGAGTTGAGTTAAAGGTAGATAACTGAGACAGCCGGAAGAGGCATGGAATGTGGAATTAGAACAATCTATCCTGGTGGATGTCCAGTTCGAAATTCCAATCACCTGAAGAAGGTTGGAGTGTACAACGGCTGATATGGCAATAGAGATGCGAACAACAGTCCGAACAATGTAAATAAATCATGATCACTCTTCAAATAGATTAAAATTCACTTTTCCGCATGCCCTTGCTTTACAATATGTCCTTTCTGCAATTAAATCTGCAGGCAGGTTTTTCATGGCACCCTCATTAACATTTGTCCATAGAACATGAGAGATACATCAAGTCATCCACAGCTTGTTCCATGGTAAAGGACAACTACTAGTAGGAAATGAAAGTTATCAATATTTTTATACACACACAAGAAAAAAAAAAATGTTGGTTATGAATTTGTTTGATTATTCCAGGAAGCCAACTAATATAGCTTGTAAAGCACTAACCTCATTTCCGCCACCCTTTTCTATTGCAAGTGAAGTCACTCTGGAAAAAAAAAAACATGAACAGGTCAACAAAGATATACATTTGTAAATTAACAATAATGGTAATAGAAGCAGGCATGTCAAGAGGAAAACTATGTAAATAAAAGGATCAGACACTTAATAAAAGCAAAAAAAAAAAAAAAAAAAAAATCTGAGTTGATGGTTGGTTACCTCTTGAAAACCAAATACACATTGTGAAAGGAATCCTGAAAATAGGTAGTTTAGAATTAAATTCGTAGTAAGAACAAAATGAAAGTAACTGACTAAAGAACACTTTAAAAAAAAAAAAAATATTGGAATTTACTAATGTGCACATTATTTGTATATCTATGTAGGTATTAGAAAATTAAAGCAGATTTAAGAGTAAAAGGAAAGAAAGATATTTTAAGTATAATAGTCATCTATGCATGTTTAATGATGTATACAAATCCAACTTCTTCACTTGATCTGGAATAAGATATGTACTATGAATGATTTCATGTCATTAATTTTATCTTTAAGCAATAAGCAAATACTTTTGAATGATTGAATGGTACTGACTGTGATACTAGGATTGTTAAGCCTGCGAAAGAAGGTTTCTTTCTGCATAGTTTTAAGAGATACTCTGATGTGATATGAAAAAATGGATTTCACTAATCCTATTCAAGAGATGTAGATGAAAGGTTTACATGGAAGTAAGAGGATTGTTACAATTCAAAAGAATCACTGATCATTTTTTTATGAAACCCATTTATGAAGCACTATATTAAAACCAAGTTTAATTTATTTCTTTCAACTTGAATAGGATTTGATGAGGTGAATATATTATTTAAATTGACTGATTAATGAAAATTAGAAAGCATTGAACCTTGGAAAAAACAAAAAAAAACAAAAAAAAAACAAACAAACATCTAACACAATAGCAGAAGTTACAGTTGTTAGTGAAGCAAAATAAGAATAACATTTGTAAAAATAAGTATTTAAAAAATAAAAGTGTTAATGCTTAGAAAATAGTCACTGTTATTTTCTTTGATTTCTACGTTAATGTTTTGTCTTAAGCAGATACGAGTCTGAAAATTTTAGTCATACTATAGCCGTTTAGTTACTCACAACAACAAAAAGTTCAAAGCAATGTAAATTTTTGCTTTCTTAAAATTGCTATTAGAATTGTTAGTAGAGAAAGATTAACAAACATTGAATAAAAAAAAAAAAAAAAAAATTTAAGTTGTATTAAAACTGGAGTTTTATCTTTCCAGAAAAACTGGAATGGTCAAAAGAAATTGCTGACATTAAGAATCAGTTTTATTTTGATAGCAACAAGCCAGCAAAGAAAAAAAAAAGGGAGGGGGGAACAAAACAAGAGAAAAATGACAAAGGAGTAGCTAAACTAAACTTTCTAGTTGTAAATTGATAGGAACTGACAGAACAGGGCATCGGTTTGTAATATGAATGGTAGTCATTAATTTTTACTGTGTCACTTTTTGCAAATATTTTCAACTTGAAGTTTATTTGTCATGCAGTATGTCAATAACAGTTGTAAGAATATGCTTTTAAAGCCAATCAACCTTATATCAGATCAGAAATTAATTTTAAACAATTTACTTACCATAAATTTAGAGAAGTTTGCCAAAATTAGTAAAAAAAAAAAAAGAACTATTTCAATACCAATGAATCAATTACTGTCTTAGTCAATGTAGATATACAACATCAGAGTATCAAACTAGTCAGAAAAATTTGGGTATTATAGATGTATTTCATGTATTAATGAAGATTATAGAAGAGAAACCAAGCCTGCTCTGGTTTGTAAATTTCACTGATAAAAATCAAGAACAGGAACTAGGGTGACAAAGCATAAAGAAAATACTTACTTGATCCAGAAGTGAATACTTGGCAGTTTTTCATGAATTCCAGTTTGACAGAAGGCAGATGCTCGCCAGAAATCACCAACAGCAACTGCTGCATCAAAGGCTCTGGAGAGAGAATTTTGTCTTTTTAAATTAATAAATATATGTTAAAAAAAAAAAAAGGACAGAAAAGCTTATTTTATTTTAAACAGTTTATATAACCAATGATAGCACACAGATTTCTGAAACAAATATGTTAAAACCCTCTCTGCGAGGATATGTCGTAACACAAGCAGAGACAAAAAGTTAGACACAAAAAAATTTCCTTCCTACGTTTTTACAGAAATAGCAAATATAATTTCAAAAAGCGATCATTTAATATTTGTCTACAGTCTATGAGAAAACCAATGCAAGTAGCATACCTAAGGGAGACATTTTGGAGTCATCAACCCAGAAGATAAAACTTATAAATTCATAAAATAAATTAGTCATTCAATCAGAGCAAGCTGAAAGCTATTCAAAGAGCTACACATTCATTAGAGTCATATTGAGGCTAGAAAGTAGATCTTTGAGGATTTAACTATTGAATTTTACAATTTTTAACCTATATTCAAGCTCTGGCACTTTGTATATTGAAAGATACTGGAGAGAATAAAACAAGAAAAAGGAATAATCAGTTGCAAAGAATTAATGCAATCACTTACAGACAAACAGACCAAATGTTTTATATAATAGCTCTAATTTGTCTATTTAAGCATGACAGAAAAACCCAAGAGGAAAGGCTACAGTAATCCCTGACAAATTGGTTCTATTGTGTGCCTAATGAAGGTAAGTCACTGCTGTTGGTATTATCATGATTATTATCTCAGTTTTAGGTGTCTTGCTCCTTTGCCACCTACAATTTTCAAAAACTTAAATACAACCCCAATTGCTATCTCCAGTCATCTGAATTCTGCTGTCCTTTCTCCTCACTAAAATCTTCCCATTTTCTCCCACTCCCATATGTCTTAGCAGCATTAACACCTTGCTTTTTGGGGGGGAAGAGGAGGATAAAAAATGGGGGGTCTAATGTTCGTGGGGTGCAAAATTAATTTCAACTTCACCCACCACAACACGAATGAGTCCAAACTCATTGTTGATAACTCCAAAAGGTAGATTTTATCAAAATTTCTTTGTTATTTTTTAATTAAGCATGTACATTTACACCTAAATGGAACTATTCGGGAATTTTTTTATTAAAAACTGAGCACAGGGCTTCAACTGCAAATTACCCTCAAGTTGAAATTAGTTGTCACACATATTCACCTACTTACAAGACCCGAGCCACTCAATGTAGAGGGTTACTGTGTAGAGTTGTATTAGCATAAGAAAGGGCAAGAAGTGAAGTTCTTCAGGCTAACTCTAGACTTGAAGAGGTCAAGAATTAATTAGTGAATAAAATTTCAGAGTTCAGGTGGAGATGTTAGAAGTATAGAATTGAAGTTGACTTTAGAAGAAACTGGAAACCTAATCCTAAACAAGAAACAAGGGATAAATCTCTACTTCTGTTCAAAAGATCAGAGAGAAGGGTAAACCGGATGATAAGCAAAGCTATCCACTCCTATTAAAACAACATTATCTAACAGCCAGTTTAGTTTTCTTGATAGCAAGACCAAAAATCACATAGAAAATACATTTGGTTAATATTTAAATATCTTGACATTTCAAAAATCTTGATTTTAAAGTTTTAATTCAAGAATACTGCAGGTAAAATGTGAACATCATCACAAGTTGCTTTGGCCAGGCAGTCTGCATAAGAATGGCATAATGCAAAGGAAATTCTCAACAAATTCTTCAGCAAAATCTTTCATTTACAACCATTTTGAGTTGCAGAGATATTTCCTTATATGAGTAAGAAAATAACATCAAAATGTTAATTCTGTTGGCAGCAAATTTACCCAGTGATACTAAGTGAAATGTAGCTTTATGTTGATAAGATTACTGTAATATAAAACTTATCTTTATTACATATATATTTAGTGCTATTGAATGTATATGACAAATTTATATCTTGAATCTATAAAAGTTGCATAAGCATTAAGTTAATAAATGGCATGAGACTGCAGATACAGTAGATTTCAGAATTTAACAGATTAGCTACGAATATAGCTATTTTTTTTCCAGTAATCAGTATTTGCATTTGGGGTCTGTTTTGATGCATGTAGTAATAGGTATTACACCCAGTAAACTATCAAAGGTTTTAAAATAAAATGTCTTACTTTAAAAGGACACTTAATTACAGTGGATATGAAGGTTCTGATTTGGTGTGTTGTCCTTACCTAATATTTTAGGTGTGTGTGTGTGTGTGTGTGTGTGTGTGTGTGTGTATATATATCTCTGAAATGTCTAACTTTTTACCGAGCTAGAGTTATGTGCATTGTTCTGGTAATGCCAGGTGGCAGTGCCTTTCTTAGGATAACAGTAGACCATTCCAAGATGTTTATGAAGCTGGAAAAACCAACTCTGAAAGAGCAGAGTACAATAATAATAATAATTGGAAAAATATATTTAAAAGACACTCACATGAAAACCTAATAAAACTATTAACTTAAAATATGTCCTCATTTTTATAGCATGAGTAAACCAGTATATAGAAATCAACTGAGCACAAAACAGTGTCTAACATCAATTTCAGAGTCACGATCATATGTCCAGTGACACATTAGGATTATAAGACTGCACTGCAATCATAGCAGAAGCAAAGTGTCTAGAGCAAGATAGCCTGACAGAGCCTATACCTTCAAGTTGGTTTTAAATCCTGATTTTGTTCTTCAAGCCTAATTCTATTTCCAAGGCTAAGGAGCCAATCAAATACAAGTACCAGCAGGTTTAAATTATTTCCTTCAATTTTTCTCCTGTCAGAGGGTTTACTTGGTATGGCATGTTTATTAATTTTCAAAAATTTTGTGGCATAATTACTTTGATCTGCGTTTATTAAATGTCATTAAAAATTCTTAGTAGAACCTTTATTTCAAATAGGCATGCTTATTTTATAACTTGAAATGTCCCCACCAGCATGACTATTCCAGACAGTATATATATTTGGTACAAAAGAATATTTCAACCATTTCTGGAATCATGTCTTTTCCAAAGACAAATAAATCAATGAACAGACTTTGCCCAAATTTGAACCTGGCACATTGATTCCTTTCTACACCAATAATTGTTATGCAAGCCACACATCTACAATTTTAGAGTATAACTATTTATCAAAATCATTAATAATATTTTAGCAGCAAAATTTCTTTTCATAATTACACTTATGAATATTAGCCATGTTATTAAGATCTTGTTACTTCATTAACTTCTGCATCCATCATATCACTAAAATGGATTGAAATTTATTTGCTATGAGTAAATAAACTTAAATCAATATTTTTTCTAGTTATTACATGATGAAGACCTTCAACTTAGTACAATGTGTGTCCAATTCAAACTGGCTATAATAAATGTAACTGAAAAGAAAGAAAAAATATCTTGCTTACCTTAGAATTAAATCTGTGTTGTTTGGCATGATAGAAATAAATTTATCATAGGCAATAAACTGTTGCTCTTTACCGAGGCAACTGATGTAAAGGTCAACAATATTGTTATGATGTTCATAGTTGAGCCAATAGTGGCCTGGCCAGTGGGACAACTCTGTTTTGGCTGGTAGGCTTGTTAAGCATCGTATAACCAAACCCGAGAGTTTAGAGGCCAAAGAAGACAGGCCTTCCTGACAAAGTTGGCGGATTTGAAACCTTACATAACTGAAATGCAATGAAAGAAAAGCATTAACAATATAGTGATATATTAGACAATATTCACTAAGAAAATAAATTCTTAAATTCAGGTTTTATTAATTCTGAATTTCAGGGTCGTGAGGGAAGAATAATCGGGAAATAAAGTCATTATTTCTTAAACAAAAAGATACTAATGTATTACAGAGATTTTTTTCCATCTACATCAGAGACATGCAGTATTATCTTATTTTTACTTGATACAGAAGAATTTATTATTTAGGAAAGGAATAGATAAGCCTGTCTTTTTATGTAATTGAAAAAGAACTACAAAGGCATGTATAAACAGGATTAAATAGGCAGAATTTGATTTTTTATATTTTAAGAATATTAACTGTGAAGAAAATCAATCCTAAGGATCTCCTGACATGTCCATTTTAACAAGAGACAGCACATATTGCTGCAATTGGTTTGTAAAAAGACATTGCCGATTCAAAAAATAGTCAGACAAGAGGCTGAACATGCTTTCGGGATTTGTGCAGCTGTATGTGTAGCACTACAGTGAAATACTGCTCCAAAATATGATGCTGTAAAGCACATTATTTAATAAAGTTTCACTGATCAAAAATGTTAAGGACCAATTAATAGGAGAGGGAAGAGAAAAAAAAAAAAAAAAAAAAAAAAAAAAAAAAGAAAGAAAATAAGCACTACTTACTGTTTCCAAATCTTGGCAATATCAATAGTCAGATCAACAGTGGACAGTGCAGTTTCATAAGTTTCTATGGCTTGAGCATTATCTCCCTGAAGCTCTAATAATAAACTGGAGGAAGGAAAAAAAGTGACAACATCTAATGTACTGACAGTTTAATAGAAGATAAAAAAAAGCAATAACTATATATATATATATATATATATATATATATATATATATATACACACACACACACACACACACACACACACACACACACACCGGGGGATTGTATGACCAAGTGGAAAAGTTTTCGGGTGATGTATTTCCTTTAGGACTTCTGACTAAATTTGTTATGCTGGTGTAATGACATGTGCATGAATGAGGGATGCTGGGAATTTTTAATTTTGTTTCAATTCAGCCGAATTCATTTAGATTTTTTTTCTTTCCAGCACTTTTGTTAGCAGATATCCCACACTGTGATAATAGAAGTTCTGCCAGGAATAGTAAAATGTTGTAAGAGCCAGGGTGCAAATTTACTGTGGATGACCTTGCAATCAAGGTACTCTCTAAACATGTCATAGTGAAGTGTTTTCTCCTTTGAAAACATTTCCTACTTTGTCATATTTTCCCCCAACATTGTTCTTGATTATATAAAATTATATATATATATATATATATATATATATATATATATATATATATATATATATACTTAAAACATGCTTTGCATAATATTCCCAGAAAGTTAAATTGCTAAATGCATTCTTAATGATTAATATCAAGCATAAACAAAATAGTGACCACATATTTTGAGAAACAGAAGAGTGGAGGACAAAATGAACTGTTGATAAAATGGTTGACTAAGCAGCATCCATACTCTTAGTGAATGAAGTTTGCTTCATTATTACATGTTTAGTGGATTTTATTTCTTTTTTAGAAATTACTTTTTTTTAGAAAGTGAAAATTGAAAGTTATAAACTTGTTCACACACTGGGAGATCCATGATATCCTCTAGAAAGTCTTCAGAGAGTTGATTCCAGGTATATTAACCATTCTTAGTGAATGTATTGGAACTGATATGATTCCTGCATATCTCACATTAAGAAAGAAATAATTTAATCAACACTTACCAATAACTAAGCCATAAATATAACTGATTTTTTTGTATCACTTTGGGCGTAATTCTATCACAGTATTCAGGAGTTTTGTAACCAAAAGGGACAGTCTGATCCAACAGACAGCTTAAAAATAAAATAAAATAAAAAAACATGTAAATATTTATCAAAGTATTTTAAAATAAAACTTGAATTAGCCAATCAAAAACATTTAACAATAAAAAATAAAATGGTTACAAAGATTTGAGCATATTAAAAGAGACTTTTTTTTTTCATCTCTTATTAGCAAAAGTGTGGTGTATTTACATCTAAAATATTTATTTTTAGGAATAATAAAAGTTTTGAACATTAGCAAACTGAAAGGCTTATTCTGTCTGTAGAGCCATGACTGAACATTTTACAATTTATTTAAACAACTGAATCATTATTCTTTAACAACTCAAATCTTGAAAAATTATGAAAATGTTTACAAAAGTTTTACATGAATAATTGACAAATCAAAGCAATTTGTTGGAAAAAGTGCTTCCTCATTGTAATAAAATCAGTTCCTGTTTATCCAATGTTGAGAATTCCCAACAAAACAGATTTGCATGAGAGGTAAAGAGGGAGCCTATTGATCCAGATAATTATTAGAAGATATTTTCACAAGAAAAAAATATTTTAATTCCTAAGCAAAAAATTTGATATAATGCAAATTTGTCAAGATTATTCATCAAACTGTATTACTTTATTAATTCCTTTCTTCTATTTGCTGTATCCCCTCAGGATGTGGGCAATTATGGATCGCTACAATTTCCTGTCCTTTGCAACTCTTAGTAAATTTTGTCTTTTCGCCATCACCATCCTGCCAGCCACATACACAACTTCTATGCATTACTGTCCTCTGTTGCTCTTGCCTTTGATATGCCCTGTTAGTGTCAAATTTTCTAAGCCCTCCTTCCTCATTATGTGCTCTGGAGATTCCAACTGGTTCTTCCTGATGCTAAGTATAATTAACCTTTTTGTTTCCCCCTTTCCCTAAAACTATCATTGCTCACATGTTCAGTCCATGGTATTCTCAGCATTAACTCCTCCTGTGCCTGAACAGATGTTCAGGATGTTGGCAATCATAGTGTTCCACAATTTCCTGTCCTTTGTAGCTCTTGATAAATTGTCTTTTTGCTATCTCTCCCAAACTCTGCGTCACCATCCATTCACTCAAGCTCGCCAGGTAGATTATGTGTCATTTTCCGGTCCCTCTTGCTTCCAGTCAGTCCTATGTGTATCAAATTTTCCAAGTCCTCTTGCCTCATTATGTGCCAAAGGAATTTCAACTGTCTCCTCCTAATGTTAAGTATAAGTAACCTTTTTGCACTCATTGTCTCTAGAACTTTATTACTAACATGTTCAGTCCATGGTATTCTCAGCATCCTTCTGTAGAACCACATTCATTACCTCAAGTCTTCATCTGTGAGAAGATTGTTCAGCATTCACATGCCATATAAGAGAACTGATTACATAACAGTTCAGTACTCATTTCTTTATTTCTAATGAAATGTTTCTGTTTCTTAATACTTTGGTTAGCTTTTGGAAGGCTTATGCATCAGATATTTAAATTGTACTCGTTTGATTTCAGTATCTTCAATTTGTAATTTGCATGTTGGGCTGTTCCTTTTGCTAATAATCAAACATTGTCTTCTTGCAATCGATATTTAGTCTTTTCTTCTCACTTTCCTTCACTACCTTCTATGGGGGGGGTCCTTGTAGTTTCCTTTCTCCATTTGCTACCAACACAGTGTCATATGCATGTATTATGTTGTTAAGATTGTGGTCACCAATAATAAATCCTGGTAGGGCTTCTAATTCTCTCAGAATTACATCATTGAATAGGTTGAATAAGTCCAGTGAGAAGACACACCACTGTCTTACACGCATTACTATTTTGGCATATTTACTGAATTAATTTTCTATTTGTATGCAGGTGTTTTGCTGCCTGTATAAGTACTGGATTATTCTAGCAGCCTTCTCACATATGTCAAAGTTACATAGCAGTTCCAACAGTTCTTTGTGACACACTTTATCAAACACTTGCATAATCTATAAAACACTGGCACTCCTGCATGTATATTGTTCTTTCTAGTATCATTATGAGCATAAATATTACATTTCTTGTTCCAGTGTCTTTAATGAACTCACTGTCCTTGTCCTGTTTCTGGTTTGTTTCTGCTCTATTCATCAGATTTCAGATAAGTTTTGTTATATGGCTCATTAGGCTGATTGTCTGATGGAGTTGACATTCATTAGCATTGCCTAAGAAATCAGATGCAATGAAAGTGAATCTACGTAGGTCTTCTGGTATATCCCCACTGTTGTATATTTATTATGTCTGTAATCTTGTCAATGTCCAAATCATCTAAGGCTGCCAGCATCTCTATTACAATTCTCTTTGGTTCTGTTCAATTTGGCCAGTGTTGATTCCACTTCAGATTTTAATAGCTCTGGTCCTTAGATATTTCTGTGTATTGCCAGATGTTCTCTTGGAAGAGTTCTCCGATGTATTCATTCAAGTATTTTTTTTTCTTTAATATTAGTGTCCCATCCTTGAATTTTATGCACCAGGTTGATGAGTAGGTCTTTTGTCCTGTTAGTTCTTATATTTTTATGCATATCTGCTTTGGCATTCAGGTCTCCCAAGACAATTACTCAAATCTCTGTATATTCATTGTTGTTACTACATTTCAGTTCTCTTCAAGAAGCCTCTAACATAGAACAACCAGCAAATAAATTGTTCATTATATATTCATTAGACTGGTCTACTTTTACACTGATAGATATACAAAATGTACAAGTGATTACAAAGTACTCCTACTTCAAAACACTTTACTAAACAAATAAAACCAGTGTTGAATTCTGTGCTAGCATGTTTAATTTATTTGCTTGAGAGGCCCGTTCAGCTGTTTCCCTATGCAAAAGTCTTCTGTAAATTATCTGAACTTTAACCCAGAGACACAAATGTGACATGTCACATGAGATTATTCTATCACACTTTTAGTCATCCAGCACTGCTGCTGGAAAAACAGATTCGTCTGGTGGAGGTATGAATTAATAGTTGTTCCCTTTTTTCTACTTACTAATTACATCTGAAGAGGGCTGGAGAATAGATCAGCCAAAACATGACATCAGAAATGCAAAGAGATTCTAGTGCTCAAGTAAAAAATTGAAAATCATAACCAATTCTTCTCACCAGTAAAGAATATTTGGATCACAGCGAGGGTCACGAGTAGTGATATCAAAACAAATGACAGCAGCTTCCTCCAGATATTCAAGCGCTCGATCATAATCATCCTAAAAATAGAGATTAGGAATCATTTTGACTAGAAGAACATACTGAACTAATAGACATGTATGAAGTATAAAACAGACACTTACTCCAGCCATTTCAGACATCGCAGCATAGAGATATACCCTGGCAGAATACTGGCCTGCTTCCAGTGCATCAGCAAATACCTAAAAGAACAGAAAAAATATAATCTAACAAGAAGTGAATACCAAGATCTTAAATTAAGAATGATCCAGTATTTGCAATGTGTTTAAGTATTTAACAAGATAGAAAAATTTCAAATGCCTTTTAGTCATGCCACACATGCTGAGCGTGGGAACATCTGTTAAAAGATATAAATGCAGACAGATACATAAAAATTACCTAAAAGTCAAATCTGAATTAACTCCAGAACTAAAATATGATGCAACATATCCCGCTACATACATAAATAGAGAGTATTAAAATTAGACAATGGAAATGGACCGGCAACTGTAAAACCTACTTGCTACTGAGACTGCAGCAACATCACCTAGCAGGGTCCTCATACTCCAGGAAGAGTATACTCAAGCAGACATAATTGGTTGGAACAAGATTGCATTTGGGAAGAAAAAAATAATTTTTATTAAAAAGGAGAAATGGCAATAATTCAAATCCTACAATGTTTTGATTTTTTTTCCCCCCTGACTTACAAGTTGCCTTTTGGCAAATGTCTGGATTAAATGTCTGATCATATAGCAACATTATTTAGCAATTATAATTTCATATTTAACAAGCATAAAGACAAAGACAAAAAAAAAAAAAAAAAAAAAAAAAAGAAAGAAAAATCTATAAAAGTTGATAAATAATAAAAACAAACAAAACTTTACCAGAAAAAGGAAAAAAATATCCCAGTAATGACTGATAGTAGTTGAATTGCTTAAATTAATATATTTTCTCTTTCAAAGTCATGAATATTAATGATGTTTGTCAAGAGCTGCCTCTTTCATTTAGAAAATCTTAGAAAAAAAAAAAAAAAAAAAAAAGGCATTTTGTCAATATTTCTTTCTGCTTTGGCACTTTAACAATGAGCAAAGATGTTATATAATATACATCAGCCACATATCTGCATGTGGATGTTGAGTATGTATAGTATCTAAAAAAGTTTTTTTTTTTTATCTTCATCTTTCTGAGAAACTTGTGGGGGGGGGAGCTAAGAAGAAGCCAAATAGATATATAATTTTTTTTGTTAATGTAGAGGACAAAGTAAAAATGATCATCTCATTTCTTGATAATTTTATATTTTAATGCATCAATAGCATTGAAACAGTTGAAACTAATATATCAGTGTTTTTTTGCATTCTTAATTAAAAAAAAAAAAAGAAAAAAAAAGGTATTATTACCCGTTTTGCAGCGGCTCTATCTCCAGAGACAATATATAATTGAGCCATTGATAGCCACACATCCTCAAGTTCTGGCCACTTATTTAACACATCAAGGCACAATTTCACAGATTCCTCCCATCTAAAATAGAAGACAGGTTTCATTCTTAATTTATCAATAATGTACATGGATAATTTGGAGTGAGGGGGAAGTCAAAAGTGTATCACTTCAGAATAAAATAATCCAAGAAATAAATTTCAGTAAGTACAAATGAAGAAAAACTTCTACGATGGAATAATTATAAACTCCAAGTAACTGTCAAACATGTATTACTGTCATCAAAAAGCTAGAAAGTACAGGAAAACTGAAGTTCTTGCAACAATTTCCTAAATATGCTTAACCACTTGAAAGTGGGAAAAGATTTTAAAGACATTTTCCTGAATAAGGCAATTTTTCCAAATCCCTTTCAGCTTCTTCAAAATGTTTAACTTTGCAATGGCCGAAAGACTACAGAGTTTCTACAGAAACTGAATAAGTAGCTTCCTTAACTAATACAATTAGTCAGATCCATGTCGTCCTGGGGTTAGCTTGAAATGAGGTCTCCGTTTTTGTTTTTTTTTCCCCCCAATATATCTAAACCATAAATTATAAATTTGGAAAAGTGAAAATTTAATCAAAATATGTTAGGAAATGCCTAAGTTTTCATCTGGAATAAAAAAGCAAATGAACTTTAAGCAAAATGTTCACAATACATGGGGAAGAAAAGAGAAAACAAAAAGGTGTCAGTTGAAACTTGGTAACAGATATGGGCTAAAATTGGTAGAATAGAATAAGTGGAATATTAAAATGATTTTTCAAGAAAATTTAATTGAAAATTGTTCCTATACACTTGATTGTCAGAACATCTAAAATATTTAACATTTCCTGATATTCACAGTAGTATGTACTTTTGTTTTATCAATTTTTTTCATTTATTGCACTGTTGATCCATGCTCAAATACTGGACAGACATATTCAAAAGGTTCTGTCACCGGTGATGGATAGTTGAGGAATATTGAAACTTAACTGTGGTCAAATAAAACAAAAAAAAATTTCTGAAGGCATAAATCTTTAGTAAATAATGACAATTTGCTACTGAAAAGGTGTTATAGTGGAACACACCTATTCTATAGTTAATACTCTCCCGCCTATAATAAGTAGGAGTAGTAAGAGTAACGTGGAGTCGCTCAGTGGGTCAATGCCAGACAACCGTTAGTCAGATACTAATGTATCAGTGACCACAACTAGATTTCTCTGCGTTATACCTATTATATGAAGTTCCTAACGTTTTGGATCTCATTGAACCTATTTAGGACCCGATTTGTACAAATACAAGCCTCCACTGTAAAATCACTCCATAACAAATTTGGATCTCATCCTAGTTGCCAGGTTTGATGTGGGTGAGAAATCTAGTTGTGGTCGGTCTGATACTTTAGTATCCTCATATACAGGTAATGATTAAGAAATTTGCTGACCGAGCGACCCACTGAGCGGTATTCACGTATAGATGGGTTCAGAATCAGTTTACCTTCCCAAAAGAGACTGCCCTTCGGTGTAGCCTCGTTCGGGTTTCTCCCTGCCCGAAGACAGAGTTCAACCGGTCAGCCGGTCGTCAGACTGAACTCAGATCGACTCCTCGTTACTCTTACTACTCCTACTTATTATAGATGGGAGAGTCTATTAACTATAGAATAGGTGTGTTCCACTATAACAAAAGGTACAAAAGTTAAAATTTTATTTGATAGGAAGAAAAAATGTAAACAGCAAACAAAATGATTTGGTTCTGCTGATGAAAAGCTGAAAATTCATACAGTAGAAAATAAATTCAAATCCTTACTTGGCTTGACTACGGAATAAATTGAAGAGATTGCAGTATAAAATAGAGGCAACTGTTTGATGTTCTTCTCCATTCATTTGTTGAACATCTACACAAGCGTCCAATGCTTCATTAAACAAATCAATCAAGAAACTCATCTGGCAATTCAACTGATGATGCTCACTTTTCCAGTCAATTAAAATAGTCTAGAAAAAATAAAATAGAATTTGCATTTCTTTTACAGGAGGAATTTCCTCATGAAAAAGGGTTTTACACATTACCCAAAATTTCATAATAAATAGATTCACAGCCATTATAATCAACTTGTAAGATGCAACATGTGTGAAAGAGTTTAGTTTGGCTGCAGTGGTTTGTTAGTGTGAATTAGTATTCTTAATAATTACTGATACAATTTATAATACAGAAAAAAAAAACAAAAAAACACGAGCTTGAAAATGAGAGAAATACACAAATTCACAATGGTCTCAGAACTGTCCACCTCATCAGTTTCATTTTAGGTAGAACAGTTTAACATAGACATAATCATATATTATACAAGAAAAATCTTGTGTCATTTTGATATTGGAGTCATTTCAAAGACCCTTTTCATTCAGATAATTCTGAAAGCAACAGATAAATTGATAATCTGAAAGTTTTATAACAGTTTTTCAGGTCACATACAACACATGGTTCTGTATAGTGCAGCAGAAGGATTTTCCAGTTTCTTTTGAGCAAGTTCATCAATAATATTTTGTTTGGAGTTGCATACATTTTGACAGTGATAAAACCAACTCAGACTTAAATTATATTGACTCAAGTACTAAGTCTGCTGTTAGGAAAGTCAGTTAGTTCAATGTCGTTATTGATAACTTTTCTTATACCTTCATAAGTCTACCATTCATCAAGTGCATTGAATATTTCTACGACATCTGGTTTTGTGCTTCTGCTATGTATCTAGAGATTCTTGACAAAATTCAAAGAATCTGCAATGTTAACAGTCCTGACATCTCAGCTTCAGCAACTTTCACACTGCCATAATTTCTCATGTGCCTTTTCTCTCTCTCTATATATATATATATATATATATATATATATATATATATATATATATATATATATATTTGCAGTAAGATTGGTAGCTTAATTTTACTATAAAAATTGCTTGATGCAACTGTAACGTTCTCTCTACTTTGGTTGTGGAACTCTCTTCTGGCTTCTTGCTTTCCTAACAACTACAATCTTCAAAAGTTTAAATACAACATCGTCATCTTCTGCCACCATAAATTCTAAACTTTTGTTATCTGGTCTCCTAATGTTTTTCAGTTTCAAGAGAAAATGATTGAGGAAACAAAAACAAAAAGTATGTACAAAAATCACCATTTAGAAGTTTCATCTAAATTTACTTTTCTATTTAAAAACCTATTTTTAATTGAGTATGTGAAGAAGGAAAGAGAGCAAGAGAAGAGAAACAAACCATAATCCAGCTGATAAGACTGACCTTAGCAACTAGTTTATCAGGATGGCTCCCACATGGGTCATAAAGCCGATCTGGTAACTGATGAAATTCATACAAGTGTATATAACACAGCCATAATAGGCACCGGTCAGCAGGCCACAGCTTCAACATTAACTCTTTATCTTCACTGCTAGGAGTTTGTAATAGATTCTGAAAACAAATGTCAACATGAATAATAAATCAGAGAAACAATTATACACATAAGTAGCATGAACTGAACAAAGGATTACCAAAGATGATGAGGCAAATGCAATGAGAAGTTAAGCTATTAAAATATATATATCTCAAGGGACTAAATTTCTGTATTTATCATGCATAAACCACAATAAATTGGCTATTTTTACTGAAAAATCAGTAAAAATTTAGCATATTTACAAATATATCTAAGATTTTGAATGAGATACATGTGTACATTGTACACTATGCTAAATTTTATTAAGCAAGTTAATGCTTTCATAATTAAACTAGTATTAAGCAACTGATATTTACGTGAGCAATATACCATACAAATTTTAGCTTATAACCATTTTTATGAAAATGGTTAAAATAATTGTTGGTGTGAATTTTATGTAACTAAGATTGTTCATTATATTCAAATATGGTTGAGGTTTATAAATTTCAGATATAAGCTCAAAAAAGAAACCAGATATGTTATTCTGTGATGGGAAGAAAATATTGGAAATTTTCAAATGGGTGAACAGGTCATAGAACAATAAAAATATTGTGAGAATATTGCCAAGATAAAAACAAGAAAAGAATGGAGCATTAGAAAAAGAAATGTAAGAAAAATTAAAATGGTAGCAAAAATGGATTGACCAGTAAAAAAAACATTCAAATAAGGTGGTATTACAGGTGTTAATAAAAATGAAAATGCAGAACAGTATGAACAATGGTTACTTTTAGCCAAACTACTATCTTTAAGTTAACATAAAAAAAAAATGTTAAAGTTGAGTGAAGAGGTACATGCAAAGTAACTTCAACAGTAATATTTTGTGATGAACAGAGAGCTAAACTGGATGGACCTGATGACTTGATTAGAGGAAAGTGTCAAGCAACACACCATCATTAGAGGTGGAACAATGTTTTGTGCTTATATTGAATACAGTAAAATTACAAGTTCATTCAAAGTTGATGATGGTGTCAAGGTAAATTCAGAGAATTATTCTAAGTTTTCGGAAAAGTTGGTTTTTGAATGGAACAGGTTATAATCAGAAAGCTTTAAGCATAAGAAAATAAGTACTCCTTCACATCCTGAGTAGTTAACTATTGCTCATCCTGCTTCCAAAAAAGACTAAATTAATTAGAATAAACTAAGACGATACTCATTTGTTGTTAATAAGCATAGAGATATTTTTCAAATATTTTAATATTTATTTAATGAAAAAGTGGGAGAATTTATTCTGTCCGACATGGTTTGTCCTTTAGACTAAGGTTTCTATTGATGTAACTAATCATGATCTAAGAGGAGGGGGAATATAAAAAATACAAATATTGCACAGATTGGAGATGCTGAACTTTAAGATTAATTTTTTTTGCTTTTTTAAATAGTCACAATTACAGAAACATCACCTTAGTCTGATACAGTGCTAAAAAGATGAAAAAGATTTTTTCTACTTTGTCATTGATTTTCCTAATATTATTCCGATATATAAAAATTTATATATCCTCTTCTCCCATATTTATTTAATAAATCGAAAAATTAAATATTTATAAAAATAATGTTGTAACCTAGGAAGGGTTACTGAATGAAGAATAATCAAAACAGAGGTTGGAAATGAAATGGTAATCTTCATAACATCAATAAAATACAATACTCACCAGTGGCATGAAGTAGGTAAACCACTGCTAGTGGTGGACTACTTAGACAGCAGATTATCCCCCACTTACAATAGTGTCCAACGTATTTATGAAGATTGGGACATACTCATTAGTGTTCATAGGTACAATATATAACAAGTATTTTGTACATTTTATTTGTTTTTAAGTGGGATTAACATCATGATAGTTAAGAAATAAAAAGTAAATTTTCAACAAGTACTAACCTTTAGGAAAAGAAGCCCTGTTTTGTATCTGTTTGTGATGACCATGAGTCCAACCTGATAGACAATAATCTCAGTGATATAATGGGATCCTTTTTCATTAGTTTCTTCCTTCTTTAGAAACTGCAGAATCTCTTTGCACAACTTTGTTTTCTCAAAGTAATTCTGGATTTTATTCAGATACTACAAAAGGAGGAAGAAAAAACAAAAAAAAACAAGACAAAACAAAAAACATTGTATTTTTATTTTTCATTTACATGCCAAATGATATTCTAGATAAATCAAATTATTTAAATTAGCGGGACTCAGGAATTTTTACATATCCTTTAATCATGTAAAGCGGAAACCATGGAAACTTCCACTTTTTTTTTAATCATTTTCTTTTTTTTCTACCTACTGAAACTAATTATTTTCGGCTGGTATATTTCATATTACTATATCATTGAGGCAAACGTTAAATGCATGAAGGTGTTATTCCTTCCTCTATCTTTCCTAGAAAAATATACAGCTTCAGTGCCAATAATATGGGGGTGGGGAGAGAGAGATTTACTTTGTCTGCTGCTGCTATACCAAGAATTTGTGGGAAGGGAACAGGCAAGCTCTTACAGGTTTAACAGTTGCTAACTAATTAACTAACAAAGGAACAAGCAAAATTCTAATAGGATAGTTTTAGAAACCTTATTAAAAAAAATTATTTTACATGCTTTTCAATAAAATAATGCACAGACCCTTTAATTTTCAGTGTTTAAGCCCGATTGAATTGGTTGTTTTATGGATAAATGCACTTATAGCAGACTGACAAAGACTAACTTGAAATTTCATTAAGAGAATTTGATACTTGCTTGATACCTCAGAAAAAGAAAAGCATATTGAAATTTTTTTTTAATAAAAAATAAGTCACATTCCTCAAGAATCTAAAAAAAAAAAAAAAAAAAATATATATAAAAAATTCAAATTTTAAAGAAGTCCCTCCATTAAAATTTAGATTCATTTGTCCAGTTAGTGAAATAAAAGCAAGAACATGAAACTATTATAAATAGTATCAAATCACTTACCAGCCACCATATACTGTAAGTTGGGGCATTTTGTATAGCTGTCTGGCACATATTTATTAAATCATTTTGGCTGTCTTGGTGTTGGCTGTATAGCTGAAGATAACGTTGCCATAAAAATGGGGACTGTTTATTGCTTTCTAGGCCACGGGCCAAAACATTAAGGGCTTGGTCAAGACGCTCACTGAAAGCAATTTGAAAGAAGATTGAAATTTTTTTTCTAAAAGTCTCATCAAGAGGAAATTCATCAATCAAGGATGCATTATAATTTTTAAATTGTTAATTTATAATTTTACAACCTCAGCATCTTTAAACAAACTGAATCAAAAATGTACCTTTCCCTGCTGTTCAACTTCTTGTTAGCAAGTTTTAGCCAAAGTTGATCATTATGAGGATCTTGTAGAAGTGCAGATTCCAAGTCATCGATAGCAGCAGCATTATCATTATTGGCAAAATAGCGAATGTCCTGCTCATCAACTACTTCTTCCCATACAGATTCTGGATCTAATGAAAGTTGGGACTGTCCTAAAGTCAAATAAAAACACATTCACAAGATTTTTAATAAGATTAAAAAAACACATTCACTTATAAACTATTTTCTCACACTTATTTAAAATTTTAAAATATTTTCACAGTGGGTACAATAAAAGACATTAAAAAGCAATTCACAACAAAATATTTTTGTATCTGTTTATATTTCGGAGAGAGGTGTTGTAATTATTTACAGTATTTACATTGTTTGGACTGTGGTCTTCATTTTTGTTGCCATATTCAATCAATGCTTTTAACCCTTTTGCCATGTGCTCCAGTGGTTAAAAGTGTTTGTTGAACCCAGTGACTTAACCCAAAGAATTGAGAGTTCAATACCTGGCTACAGCAGAAAAAAAAAAAAAAAAAAAAAAAAAAAAAAAAAAAATTTAACATTTTGAATATGGCAACAAATATGAGAACAACGGTCTGATCAATGTAAATACTGTAAATAATCTTTTTTTGTTATCTTCGTATTTGTTATAAATTGTTTTTTCATGTCTACCTTTTTTGGTCTAATAAAATTTTAAAAGGATTGTTTTTCCTTAGGCAATATTTGATTATTGCAGCTAGCAGAGTAAGATTCTTAATAAAGGCAAAAACATAATCAAGTAACAAAAATCATAAGAATTCCAACTGGTCACATATACAACACAATAATTAAAGTAATTTTGTAGAAATGCTGAGCCTATATTCACCTTGCATAAAAGTATAAGGTTTTATTTAAATTTGGGATTAAAATTAAATGCTAATATTTGTTGTCAGTAAAAGTTTGTCGCTTAGCTGATGTTGCCTTCAGCATCCCAACTCCAGTGGGTATCAGCAATTTACTACTCATATCCGTTTTGTTTTTTTTCCTTTTATATATTATTGGTGTAAATTTTTTTCTGTATTTTTCGTGTTTGTGCAGCCATACACCAGTCTCTGCAGATATGCATATATGTAGGGTGTCATGATCATTTGTCTTTTTTTTCATTTCACATTTGCTCTTTAGCCTTCTCTCATTTTTCTTTTTCTTTTGACTGTTGCTGTTCTTGTGATTTGTTACAACTCGAGATATATCAATTTTTATTTTGGTGTGTTCTAGTTTGTTATTTTTGTTTTTTTCTAGGGAAGTTGTATTTTGTTTTTTTCACATAAATAATTTATATTAATGCTTAAATTATATATAAATATGCGCATATGTAACTGTTAAATAGCGTATGTTTATATCATGTTATTGTTTATTTAATGGTTAAGGGTTTGTTTTTGCCTTGGTGTTATATATTGAATTATTAATTATGGTTTGTTCGTTTTTGGTGTTTGTGCATGTTTAATATTTATTCGTTTATTTATTAATAAATAAAGTTTATATTATATTTATATTTGTTTATTTGTAATTAGTGCTTAGATGGAAAAGGAAGTATTTATTTATATGCCTACATTTACTCATTATTTCAGTTTTCTTGTTTAAGAGTTTATTTTGGTTTTTAAAACTAATTATTGCTAACTTTTCCTCTTAGCATAATTTACAATTTTTACTTTTAATACTGTATGAGGCTGCTCCTTTACTCTTTTTATAATTTCCTATTTGATTTTGGGGGGGATATTGTTTTCTTTGGCTCCATAGGGTTGTATCGTTCATGTTTTTTTTGTTTTTTCTCAAATAACATTTTGTGGTTATGATATCTTTCTGTAAAAGTTTTTTTTCTCTGTGGCACCTATGTAAAATCTTTTTGTCTGTGCTAATGTTAATATTAATGTTATTAGTTACACTAGCTTTGTATATTATGTTATTGGCTAAACATTTAGAGTTAAGTGGGCAATTTTCTTTGTTTCTGCAGTTACATTTAATGGTGTTATTTTGCTGCATGTGACTTATTTTTTTTAATATTTTTTTTTCTTTTTATTGTGCTTAGTCATTTTCATCATGTTATCCATGCAGCTGTAACTAATTTTCATTGTATTTTTTGTTAATGTTTGATAATTTGCTGTTTTTAGAGAAGTGCTTGTCAGTTATTTTGAAGAATATTTTACCTATTTTTGTTTTTATTGTATTAATGGCTGGGGTGAACCAAATTATATTTCTTTTTCTGCTGTTTTTGTATTCTATTCTGTTTGAATAACCGCTATTTCTTAGGGCTGATTCATGTTTTTTTCATTGAATATTTTTAGGCTATTAGTATTTGTTGAAATTCTTTTATAGATATGGGTATTTGTTTGAATACATTAGAGTGGTGGGGTTTGTATTGTTTGTAGGTTCCATTGTTTATATCTAAAAAAATTTCTATTTTTGTTTGGATTTTATATCTATTGTAAATCTTAGAGTTTGAAGGTTTTTATTATTTCTTGTTTTATTTTTTTTTTTATACATGCACGCAAACAAAAAAAAAGTGAAACCTTACCAAAGATGGTGTGATTTTCAGAATATGATTCAGAATAGATATCATCTACATTATCAGGATGTTTTTTCTGTGAAGGTTTCCATAATCTTGGTTCAAAGAACATAGTATGAGGCACAACTAAAAGAAATGAAGTAGAAAAAAATTTTTTTTTTAAATATTATAAGATGCAATAAAAACTTGAAACTTCATTAAAAATAATTTTTTATTTTTACAAATTCAAATATGATAGAAACAAATTGAAGCTAATGACAAAAACATTTAAACAACTTTTATTAATTTACAAAAATATGCAATACTGTCATAAAGGTCTTTAAATAAATTATTAATGATATTAAAAGGTAATATGCTTTGTAATATATTACAATTATTTTGCCTTTTGGGTCTTGTGTGAAGTTCAACTGATTTGGGGTAATTAAGTGGTTAGCATAAGAGAAAGGAGTCAAAATTATACTAACATATTTGTCAATAGTTAATCTTCCATATGTTTTGATCTGCCTGCAAAGAAGAGGTTTTTAATGTTTGTGATCAGTTGAGGAATTTTACGCATAACTGAATGTATCAATGGCCAAATGTCTGTGGCTAACAAGAGGTTATTTTAATGCATTAAGAAATAAGTAGTCAATGTGCAGTTTTATTATTTATTACTTGAGGATGAGCAATTTTTTTTTTTTTTTTTATTGAAGATTTAATGACAAAAATGAATTTACTATTTACTTACCATGCATCGCATATTCATTGACTTTGCTGACCTGCAACAAACATAACTCATCCATTGTCATTCGGCCTTGATTCTGATTCAGAACATTCTCTACATAGACATCTAAAAGATCCAAACAAAGGGAAAAAGTCATCAAATTAGCAATAAAAACAAGCTATGGAGTAGAAATTTTCCTAATTAAATTTTCATCAGCTGTTTAACTTTCATTTATATATTTTAAAAGATCAAAACTGAACAAGTGTTATAGGAATAAAAAGTATACAGCTGAAGAAATGATCCACTGGACCATAATTCTAAATCATAAAATCACTTGTGGTGTTAATGTGCAAGATGTTTTAATTTTATGCTGGAGCAGAGAGAGTTAAGAAATGTAATGAAATACCTAAATTTATTACCCACCCAGAAAGAAATCTGAAGTAGCAGATTTTATTTTTTCTTTACAGTACTCAGCTTTCTCAACCTGATGATGCCTGTTCAAGCAAAATGACTACATAACTTTACTTCAGAATTTAAGGATCATCATTCTTATTGCTACAAGTAAGAGAGTTTGAATAAATTTAAAGGAAAACCAATCCTCAGATTTTAAAGACAAACAATACTAACTTTTAAAATATTGTAAATTAAATAGCAAGCAACATCAATTATTGATATACAACAGCACTTGACAGAACAAGAATAATATTGGAAAGCTAATTAATTTTGTTTACTAAAATTTATATAAAGCAAAGCTTTGGATCCTGATACTTACTGATTTGAGAGGCTAGTTTTTCTATTGGAAGATCTGTTGCACCAGACAATCCTGGTGCATAAGAAACAACATCTTGTAAGATTTCAGTCTTGGACATTGCATAATCTTTTATATGTTGGCTGCAAAGACATTAAAAAAACAAAAAAAATCTCTTCTTGAACAATCATAGGGGAAATTATTTTGTTTCAGTAATTCTTATAAGGGAGCAAGCAGACAGGTACTAATTTGGACATATATGAAGAAAAAAAATAGTTTTGTTGCAAATAGACATCAATCCTACTTTAATTTACAACTAATAAAAGAATTTACTGAAGTATTCATTAAACCTTTACAGAATAAAAGAAATGAGAAAGGAAACATGATCGGAACAAGTGATAAAAGCTTATTTGTCAGTGACATGAAAACATGGAATCAGATGGATTCTTCTTAAAATCAACAGATGTGACAACTTTTGCTTGATGAAGCATCTTAATTGCATTGACTTCTATATAAATTTAATTATTCAAAGAGTTTACATTTTTGCGTCTTTTTAATGAAGACCAAATATTATATTTGCTAGGATTTCTTGATTTCATTAATTTGAATTAAGACCAGGGAAAATTTTTAACTGAACTATTTCAGTAAGAAAAAAAAAAAAAAAAAAAAAAAGGAGGGGTATATATTAACTTTGGCAATTGTGATTAATTGCAAGAAAGAAAGAAAAATTAAACTGAGGAAATAATTTTTCTAGAGGTGAAAAATTGTCGCCATATGAATTCTCTCCCTTGTATTTGAGGACTCATTCTGTCACCTGTTATTTCTGGTATTTTAATCTGGAAACCTACTCTCAATTCAAAACAAGGCTAAACTTCAGTTTTACAACACCATTTTTCATCGTTTTACAATCAAGTACAAATGAGAATTTTGTTGTAATTTTTTTCTTAAAAATGGCCACATGGACATTCAAGAAAGCTTTTAATGAAGAATTTTTCTTCATTTTAGATTCTGAAGGTTTTATACAGGTGGATATTGATGGTGAAGTGGCTGGAGATGATAATCACACTAGTGACGGTGCCAAACAGCTACTATCATCCATGGTTGACTAATTTTATGAAGGTTACCAACCCCAAGGATGTACCTGATAGCATTTCCAAAAGAGAATTATTCATCAACAATGAAATAACTATATTTGCCGATGGGACAAATTTAAATATGTCAGTCAGGCAATGCTGGTGTCTACTTGTATGGAAGGTCATCACTTTTTTGATGAAATGAAGACCTTTACAGCCATTTTGCTTCTAATTGGATTCACAAAACAGTCATCATTCAAATGGTACTGGTTAACTGAAGATTTTATTCAGAAGACAGGTTTATTAGAATTTTGTCATTTTTCCATCTTTTGGATAACTAAATCATAAGTGAATGCAAAACCTAGGAAGCACCCCGAAACTGATGTGATGTACAAGATCTGTCCAATTTTCAAAAGACTTGTGCAATTTTAGCAGAAATACTTTTATTTAGGAATGTTCAGATTCACGATACCTAAGGTTTACTTTAAAAAATGTATTTCTAAAGATGAAAAATCTTTTTTAGCTTTAATTCAATGGTAAAGGAATAAAATTTACCCAGTAAGCAAAATACTTTGGTGTATTTAAAACCAAATTTTTTTATTAACTGGAATAGACTGGAATTTTTTTTTTTTAGCCTTATGGTTGAGGATGATTTCAGGAAAAAATTAAAAATACTATAATAAAAATAAAGAATTTCATTAGAGAGGTACCTATAATTTTTTGTTTACATATATCTTATGAAATTTTATTCATTATTATTATATAAATTATTGAAAAAAAAAAAGAAAAAGAAAAAAAAGACATTATGCTTATTTATAAAAATTAATTAAAAGCTTTTCTAGTTAAATAATATCAGTTTTGTTTTTTTTTTTCAGAGCTGATTTTTGGTAACTGGTAATTCAATTTATAAGGAGAACCCCCCGCACCCAAAAAGAAAAACTAATCAATAAAAGTTACACTTTTGAATTTCTTGAGTTTTCATAAAACTAAGTGGGTGGTGACATGTAAAAAAATAAAAACAAAAACACTTCTAAAATGATTTAATTCATTTGTGAATAAGTCCTGAAAGTTTCATTAAAATCCAACAATCATTTGATTTTTGCAAGAATTTCCAAATCAATATATCTTTCACTGCTAAAATTATCTATATTATCAAATCAAATGAGCCCGAGTTTAAGACCTGGATAAGAGAGGCTGGGGATGTTCACCATGTATATTGTAAGATATACAAAAATCATTTGATATTAGCAACATGCCATTAAAAGCTACGCCAAAGGACAGGAACACAAGGGCTAGAGTAGGTCAAGGCAGTGAACTGTGAATGCCTGATTTCGTCAATCAACCTTCCATTCAGAATTCTGAAGCTAGCAAGAAAGCAACAATGACAGAGTCAAGAGAGTAGAGAAGTCCAACTGCTGAAAGTTTAGATCCATCCCAAGTTACACCCAAAATTAATACGTATTTTTCAAGAGATTATGTTTTAGAAGCAGAAATCTGCTGGGTGGTAAGAATGACTGTCATTTTTCTTTCAACTCTTGTTAGGATTTGGGCATGTTTCCTCAGATGTTTCTTGACAGTAACGTTACTAAAAAAATTTGTGTGTAGAGCACCCAAAGCAACATACCTGATTTGTTTTGGTTTGGCACCCTATTTCAGAAAGGAATCAACCAATCAAATTGCCATGTCATTTCATTTGACAAATGCCTGAATAAGGTTACTTAGACTGAGCAAATGAACATAATTGTTTGGCACTGGAGTGAAAGTGAAGAGAAGGTTGTATTAAATTATCTGGACTCTCAGTTTATGGGACACATCAAAGCAGAGATGTCTGTTGAGAGAATGAAGAATTTTCTATCTCCACTTGATTCAAACAAACTCCTACAAATATCTATAGGTGGTCCATGAGTAAACTGGAATTTTGAGATTATTTGAAGGCTACAGTACCAAGGAAGACCCAAATGATTGAAGGTTAGCAAGTCTTGCGAGCTGTGGTCTCCATACAGTGCATGGGAGTCCCAACAGGGTGAGAAGGAGACAGGATGGAAGATTGATGAAAGCCTAAGAGCGCTTTGGCAAATTTTTCATGATACACCAGCTAGGCAGGACAATTTCATTGAAATTACAAAATACCCCTCAAATTTTATGCTCACAGGTGGATAGAATATTTGCTAGTGGCAGAACAGGCCATTGAGATATGGCTAACTGTACAGAGATGTATGAACCAGTACAAAAAATCTGAAAGGTGGAACCAACATTAATGTCCTCTCTCATAGTTAAAAAAAAGAAAGGGGAGGTGTTGGTGACCCCTCCCACTTTTGAAGCCAAGCTAGTTTTTAAAAATATATATAAATATATATATATATATATATATATATATATATATGGAAAGGCTGCTCAGACCCATCCTTGAAGACCTTTTAGAAAGGATGCCCTATGGTACCTTTTTTGAAAAAAGGTGCTTAAATTCATCCTGCTTAATTTGCTTTCATGCTTCATGAACAAACAATTGTGGCTAACAGTACACACTTACAATTGCTCAAAATTAACATGCTGAACCAAGAGCTTCATGTACCATTAAAAGAGGTTGACATTGGCTTTGCCACCAAACATGTGATTATCAAATTCTTTGAGAATCTTCCTGACAACCAACTGCTGGGCATACAGTTCAGGAAAGAATATCAAACATTCCTCTCTACAACATCAAAGAATCTGCTGCAAAAATGTTCACTAAATTATGTGTCAGTAAGACATTTAAGATGCCTTGATCCTTTGTTCATGATCAACTGCTTCTGAATTCCAAATGGCATACTGCACAGCAATGTGACCAAATTCTTGCTGATTGTAAAAGATTACTCACTGAGATATCCTAAGAAAATAAACAATTCTTCGAGTTTAACTACAGAATTAAAAGGAAAGACATCAGCTCTGAAATCACAAAAGTGACCACAAAGAGAGAAAAAATAATGGTCAGCATCAAAGTATTGCAGCAAGAGACAGATGCAATGCCAGAGAAGGCTGGAGAAAAAAAAATTATACTGCTTGCAAAATCTAAGGCCTACTGCAAAAGTATTGCAGAAAAAAAATAAAGTGTCCATTCTAGATACCAATTTGTCTGAATGAAAAGAAAGATTACAAAGTTATAAGTAGACTAACTTCAGCATTCTTGCTAGAGCTTCATGTGTAGCACTTTATTTTTAGTAAATCCAAGTCAAATTTTTGATCTTTGGATTCTGTTGTTTTTGTTATCTCTGGTTATTTATTTGATAAAAGCAAATTTAACTTGAAATCTTGATTTTAGTTCATTTATGCCAATCATTATGTATAATGATGCTTGTAATAACCCAGTCTTCAACTGAACCAAACATACTTCAAGTACTATTATAAATCATTTAAGTAAAAAAAAAAAAAAAAAAAAAAAAGTCTTAATCTAATTACTATTGTTAATTAGTTTCAAATAAGTTATTCCCTTAAAATGAAGGTCTACCAGCTTTTGTCAGTTTTTCAATTTTTGTCCTACAACCATTTATTTTTTATGAGGTAAAAGAAAAAAAATGATACCCATTAAAAATGAAATTAGAAATTTGCTGTCAAGAAGAGAAAAGAGAAAAAAAAAAAAACAAAACAAACACTGGCAAACATTATTAATAATTGAACAATTTAAATATGAAAATATAATTATTATAATTGTGTTAAATTATTTTGGTGAGCTTTTGTCCATTTTTTTAACTTTTGTGATCCTACTAGGCCCCTGCTTGTTTTAAGAAATATTTTTATCAGAACTATCTTCAGTAAAAAATCCCTACATTAATCCAATAAAATAAATTTGACAACTTGCAAGTCTTATTTTAAATGAGTAAAAATAAACTTGAATTAGATTTGTTTTTACTTAAATTGTACCCTAACACTAGGAGCACTAATTTGCAATTAAACAAATCTTAGATAAATAAGCTGAAAACTAAAGTAAATATTATTTTGAATTAAAACATTTTTTTTTTTTGGAACTTATCTTTTAATAGTAAAATTTAGAATGAAAATGTACTATGAAAAGTTACATACTTTCATTTACAATCAATTCACCTAACATTTTCAGTCAAAACCATCTATTTTATTCCTTACTATTTAGTATTATTATAAATCATTTAAGTAAAAAAATGTCTTAATCTAATTACTATTGTTAATTAGTTTCAAATAAGTTATTCCCTTAAAATGAAGGTCTGCCAGCTTTTGTCAGTTTTTCAATTTTTATCCTACAACCAATTATTTTTACAAGATAAACTTAATTGTCTGGTACTGAAGTGAAAATGAAGAGAAGGTAGTAGTAAATTAGTAGACTCTTAAGTGAATCATTTTTTAAACTCACAAAAAATAGTAAATGAACAATACTTTGTATTGATATTCAGACATGGGTTTTTGGTTACTATAAAAATCCAAGGGAAATAATCTTTGATATTAACCCTGAATTTTGAAACCAGTTTATATTTAAATACATTTAAAAAATATCCAGTTTTGAATGTAAAATATCAAACCAAAGTTATGTTTAAAATAATCCAGAGTAGATTTGTTAACTGTAACAATAACATTAATTTTGTGATTTGAGAGAGAGGTTCTCAGATAATTTAATTAATTTTCCAGGACAAAATACAAACACTTTCCAGGGTTTAACCCCCATTACACAACCCCACCCCTATTTTTCCAGGGTTTCCAGTTTTGGAAAATTTACATTCTATTTTCCAGGACGCATGGGAACCCTGCTCTTAGTAATAACATTCTGATGATAGAACTTAGTTTTCATCAATTCTGGGACATTTTTTTCATCATAGTATGCCTTTTTTTTTTTTTTGGCAAATTCATGAACTTCCCCACTTTTATGCCAGAAAGGAACTTTCAGTGGATAAAAGTATGATCCCTTTCAAAGGAAGAACACACCTATTAATGTATATGCCAGCAAAACCTGTGGATTAGCCAATGTGAAAACCAGCTACCTCTACAATTGGCAGCTGTACTTGAGCCGAGAATAGCTGGTGTTGCTCACAAAATTTGTTTCCTCCTTGTCAGAATGTACAAAATAGTGGACGATGAACAAATTAAAAAGGTCAAAAATCAAAGTAATAAAATCATTTTCATCTCTATGCCTAACCAATTCTCAATCACCGAGGCAGATTACTTGTTTTTAAATTAACTATCAAGGAAGCAATAAAACATTGCAGCTAAATAATAATCAATTTGAAACAAAATAACAGAAGTGATTTTTTTTTTTTATCTAATAAGGCCACATTGAAAATAAAAGAGAGAGTTACTATTAGAAGAATAAAAGAAAGTAAGTAACTTTAAATTTACATTAGGAGTGCAATAGAAAAGTTTGAAAGGTAAAGTCAAATTTCAACTTACCTTGTGCATTCTTGATCATTACATGTCCCAAGCAATTCATAGTTACATAGAAATCTCTTTGGATTGAGTTTGTGTGAAAAACTTTGGCAAGTTAATGACATATTTTCTTTTGTGCGGAAGAAAGGACTGAATCTGAAATGTAGATATTAGCAATAATGAAGAAATGTATTTGAAATAGAGAGTTAGCATGTGTGAGGAAATGTATCTGAAATTTTTGGTGTTATTTATTTTGCCATGCATTAAAAAGAAATCCAGTCGAAATCATGTGAAGACACATGAAAAAAAAAAAAAAAAAAAAAAAGTAGCAGTACGTCTATTCTTGTACATAGCTATCAATTAGAATAAACAGGAGAGAAAAAAAAATGGGGGACTCACCTATATGATCTGAAGTGTAACAGAGGACTTTTGTAAGGCTTAAAACAACTGATATTAGGCAAATTACTTTGATCATTAGACACAGGTGGCACATCTAGCTTCAAACCAGAAACCTAAAAATGGTGAGGAAAAAAAAAAAAAAAAAAAAAACTTTTCAATAACAAAAAATTCTTAAAAAAATTTTCCAACAAATTTGATAATTTAATTAATGAACAATGATATATGAAACTGAAAACTTACCGATTTTATAGGAGGTAGTAATAAACTAAAATCTTCTGTAGAATTAACTTTGGAATTTGGGGATTTCAAAAAACCCTGCATTTTTTCATGCTGAGAATGTCAAAAAAAAGTGGAAGCCATTAATATAACTTATTTTTCAAATACAACAGAATAAAAAAAATTATTACTTAAATGTCACCAACTGTAGCAATATAATTAGTGAATGATCTCAAATGACTAATTTCCATTGTTTATCTCTTAAATATTTCTGTTTGAGAGGCTTTATTTTAATGAAACAATTATTCCTTTATCTTTCCTCCCTTGTTTGTTTTGAGTTATTTAAAAAAAAAAAAAAAAAAAAAAAGTCGGACATAAAAAAAGTAAAACAGATGATGACATCACTATTTTAGCAGAACAATTACAAATTTACTTTATCTAACAATCGCAATCTTAGTTACCTTGTAATTAAGCAGTAAAGTCATGCAATATCTGATAGAAGTTAACATTTATTTACAGATGATTATTTTATCTGAGGCATGCAAAAGGATTTAATAAAGATATAAATTGGAACACAAATTTTGCATCATATTCAAAAGCAGAATAGCAGTAAGAGGAAAAAAAAAAAAAAAAAAATCAAACTTCTAACTAAAAAAGTTGGTGCCTGGTTGTTACACTGCCAGTAAATCTTCACCTATGTTATGTTTGTTGTTGATCTACACAAATCTTACACAAATCTGGTTAAGAATACACTCAAGAGTAAAGGAGGGGGGGTATGTTACAAGGAAAGTAAGGAAGCAACATTCAGAACAGACAACTGATTCTTGCTTATAGAAAAGCATAACAATTTATTTGTTGAGTGTTACACTTATCAAATTAACCCTTCTCAATTCCTCAGTGATGTGGTCTACCTAACTAAAGCAGGTTTGTAAATTAATAGGTGTCAGTCATTCATAAGATCTCAAAATAATTATAGCAATGACCCAGATGAATCAATGCTAGTTGGTTCAACACTTCAAATAAAAAATTGTTTATGGAGATGCAGACAAAGATGGTCTCCTCCAAAACTCAGTCTGCAAATTAAAACTCTTAAGCCGAGAAAATTTTTCCCCACAGTGAACTGAGATAGGGTCATGGTGGACATCTGGTCATAATTTTGCATAAATACCATGCTTTGAAAGTGGTTGAAGACTCATTAGAATTGCACTAGTGAGAAGATGATTTTTATTTTTTAACAATTTTCCAAAAATCTGGGCCTAAATTTTTATATTTGGAACACCAAACAAAAAGGATATAACTAGTATTTAATTGATTACTGGTAAATCGTTGAGACAATTCTGATAAGTGATTTTTTAAAAAAATACTTAGGGTCTTGGGCTGAATCATCATATTTGGACGGACACACACACACAAAAAAAAAAGTGGGGGGGGTAGTCAATTTAAGCTGATGATTATAAGGTTTAATGCCCATTCAATCTGTTTTATCAAGGTGGTAAGTTAAGATTTTTTTTTTTTTTTTAAGCAATTTGCCCCAAACAAGCCAGGAGTGCCACTAGTACACAAGGGGTTACAGAGAGCGAGAGTAAGAGTAAAGGCGAGTGTTTGGGAAAAGGATAAAGAGAAGAACAGGGATCAAGGTCAAGGCAACAGAAGATGTTGATTGAGATTACATTTGAATATTTGAAGATTATAGCTATCAGGGAAGACAGTAAGAAGAAGGGAGTTCCACTGATGGGGGAGGTGAGAGATAAGCTGTTGGAATAGGAGATGGCTACATTTAGTCATTTTGATAGAGAAAGGGTGGGACTGAGATGCCAACCTAATAGCATGCTTAAATTCATGCAATTTGGGAACCAGTGAAAGTAGCTAGTTGGAGCAGTTGCCATGAAAGTACTTGTAGAAAAGGCAGAGGGAAGCAATAGCACATTTGTGAGATAGCGACTGCAGATGGGATGCCAGATCCGGACCAACCAAGCTGCATATCTGTGCCTGGATTTTGTCTAGGACCTCAAGATTTTGAGAGCACCAGACCATATACGGCGACAGTATTTCATGCAAGGATGAATGGTTGATTTATGTATTTGAAGGATGGATTCTCGCAAGAACAACCTTCTGGCACGACACAGAGAACCAGCTTTCATTGCGGTAGATGAATCAATGTAGTTGTTCCACTTCAGGTCAGGTTTTATTCCTTAAAACCTTGTTAATTTACAAATTTAAACTCAGATAATTCTAGGTACTAATCCATTTTATTGTAATTAAAGCTTTTCCTTTCTCTAAAACCTGACCTGATATAGTTGTAAAATCCAAATTCCTATCTTGGCTATCTAGCATATCACATGAACTTCAAGTTAATTCCCATTCCAACTGAAATCATGTAGAGATTAATTCACTTTTAAAATCCACATTCGTAACTCAGTTACATCCCTCCTTCAACAACTTTTACTTTACATGGTAAATTACAAACACATGAATTTGCATTCCAACCAGCCACCAATTCAAGATTAACTCGTAAAACCTTCATCAGAAAAATTGGGATATAAAAATTACTTACTAAAACTTTTCGAAGACTTGTAAGTTGTGATGATTCTGGCATCTTAAAGCAGTCTTCTTGATTTTCTGATGGCAGATGTGGGACTGCTAAATCAAACTGTATATTTTCCTTATTCTGCACAATTTCTGGCTTCATGTTGGAGTTGAGCATTATAAGAGATTTCCTGCGCATGGGCACAACTGGCTTGGCATTCTGAGAGTGATCACTGTATTCTGATTCATCTGTACAGTCAAGGGCTATTTTCTCAAGCCTGGGCAGAGGCTGTGGCTTTGATGCCGCAGTTGCTGCTGCTGCTTTTTTCTGAGCTTGCATCTGAAGCCGACTTAACTTTTCAGCATACTCTAATTGCATCTGTTCTAACCGTCGTTTCTCTCTGGCTATCTCCTCCACATTTTTTCTCTTCTGAACAGTTGAATTGTTGGTATTGGACACATGATTAGCAGTTAAAACATTTGATTTTTGCTGGAATAAATTACAGAGAAAAAATATTTTAAATATTTATGGCTATACCATGAGTATTTTTCAAAAATTATCCATTATTATATTGTATATTTGGAATTAATGCAGTAGCTGGGAAATGACTGCACAAAAAGTTTAACAAAAAGTTTTTAATTTTAATACATTTATCTTAATAGCTATGAAACTGATCTTATCAAGGAAAAGATCTTCCACAACTTATTTGCTAGTACAATTGTTTTACCACTTAAGCAAAAAATTTTTGTCTTGGTGTATATACAAAAAAGTCTGCCCCTGCCACGTTTTTTTCCTCGATAGATTGTGCAAATGTTGGAATTTTTCCTTTCAATCATATTGAAAAAGAACATAGCATAGAGGGTTTTTATATGAGAAAGCAAACAAACTATAGATATTTACTAAACTTAGTTTCATGTTGTCCAAAGTCAAATGGGGGTAAGAAGATCAAGCAGCAATCTCCCAAGTATAGAGCCTATCTGTATACAAACCCAGAAAAATCAGCATTTGAAATCTTAGCTTTTAGATGGATTTTAATACCAAGGGAAAATATTTCAGTAACATGGCAAGTTGAAGTAAAAAAAAAAAAAAAAAAAAATTATACAATTCAATTTAAATAAGAAAACAGACAACCTTAAGGATCCATTGGAAATAACTGGTCTGATTTGACATTGAACTCTTTGGATTACAAAACTTTTCATTACTTAACTATATATATATATATATATATATATATATATATATATAGAGAGAGAGAGAGAGAGAGAGCAAAAGATACTCCCCCATTTTTTTTTTTTTTTTTTAAATTAGTTTATGCTAGTAACTTTTTAAATTAATTCTTTTCATGAGAAATAGTTTTAGTAGCAAATCTGAAATGGTCCAAACATTTTGAAATTATTTACATGACTATAGTCCCTCATCTATGTCATCATAACATTTCAACTGTTGTGTCCTCCAATATTCATCAGAGTGATTGTCCATCCAGCTAACCTTCAGGGAAATTCAAACTGAACCCTTTATTTAATCTACTGGACAATAGTCCAGTGAATTAAAGTGTTGGTTTGAAAATTTGACAACATAGCCATTGTGAGTTCAATCGCTGGTCTGGATAGTGTGTACTTTGACATAGTTGAAACTGTGAGCAATAACTGAGCAGTACTATATAAGAACTAAATGAGATCTCTGTGCATGGATAACAGAACAAGAACAATTTATTCCTGTAGTTTAAATAAGAGGTTCAGATCAAAATTCCCTGAATGTTACCCAGATCAAAATTCCCTGAATGTTACCCAGATCAAAATTCCCTGAATGTTACCCAGATCAAAATTCCCTGAATGTTACCCAGATCAAAATTCCCTGAATGTTACCCAGATCAAAATTCCCTGAATGTTACCCAGATCAAAATTCCCTGAATGTTACCCAGATCAAAATTCCCTGAATGTTACCCAGATCAAAATTCCCTGAATGTTACCCAGATCAAAATTCCCTGAATGTTACCCAGATCAAAATTCCCTGAATGTTACCCAGATCAAAATTCCCTGAATGTTACCCAGATCAAAATTCCCTGAATGTTACCCAGATCAAAATTCCCTGAATGTTACCCAGATCAAGGCCAGAGAGTACAATGGCTGAAACATGATAACAACAAGATGACAATTGTCCATGTGTAAATAATAACCACTCATTCCAGAAACTCAGATAGAAATCATTTAATATTTAACTTAGCCATAAACATAACTGTTACAGTAAAACAATCCAAATTCTGAAGATAATTAAGATTATATGCGTAAAAATATTGTGTCAGACAAGAACAAACCAATAAATTGATAACAAATTGGAGATGATTGCACATAAACTGAAAGCTAAACTCAACAGCAATGACGTGGAGAATAATCATGGCTAAATTTCAATTCTAAAACACTCGAGGTGGTGAGGAACAAACATCACAATGCCTGAACACATTTAATAAAAAAACTTACCAACTTGGTTGACAACAAAGGTAGTTCTTGTTTGTTGCCAACACTGTCCACAGCAATTGTCCTAGGCTGATAACCATTACCATACAGTCGTTTGCCTATTTGCAGGAGGTTCTTCTCCAACTGGAGGACACTGGACTGATTTAACTGTAGTCGGCTTTTCACATGCTGAATCTAAAATTTGCAACAGTAATATTTAAGGAAGGAATAAACCCTACTGGAAAAAAAAAAAAAAAAAAAAAAAAAAAAAAAAGCTCGACCAGAACAAAAATAGATAAAATTAAATAAATAATTTAAAAAACAAAACAAATGAAAAATTTACTTCTGCTTTAACTTTGGTCACTTGTTGTTGGTTGACTTTAACAAGTTTCTCAGACTTTTTCAAGTTCTCTTTAAGGACTTCACAACTTTTCTCAGCTGATTTTAGATTGGTAAGGAACTTGGATGCCCGTGTCACTAAAGTTTTCATTTCGGCCTGATCCCGCAACATTTTTTTCCTGAAAATACAAAGAAAAAATAAAATAAAAAAATAAAATCAAAACTAACCACAGAATAGGTAATCTGTAAAACATATTTTTGTCAGTCAACAAATTCTAAGGTGTTCAGATAAGGAGCAAGAATATTTGCCAGATTTTGTTCAACAATTCTCAAACCTGTTAATTAAAAATAAAAAAAATAAATAAAAATTAATATTAAAATAGAAAGTATAGAAATATTTCAAATGTGGCAATCTTCTCTGCTGAAACCTATTTGAACACATTTTTTTTTTTTTTCATCATCTCAAAAACAGCTTCTTCATCACAAGCAAGATATTACATGAAATCCAGAAATGTTTACTTCTATTCATGTGATACAATATATAATTTTATATATCAACAAACAGTATTTAGAAAAACATGACAAACTGGAAAGGTTTTTTGGGACACGTTTCATCCATTAGCATTTCATTGGATTGGGCTTTTATTGACGTTGCCACGTCTACACGTGCACAAATGAGATGCAGGTAGTTTGAAAATCTTTCAAGAGAATATTTTTTCTCAATCCAGCTGAAATCATCTGTATTCTTTTTAATCTTTTTTTTTTTTTTTTCTCTCCATCACCTTTGTCCCAAACTATCGCACACGGTGACAATATGAAATCTACCAAGAATGATGATACATTGTAAGAGTCTGGATGCAAATTTATTGTGGCTGAACTAGAGATCAAGGCACTTTCCAGACATTTTCATTTCAGTGGATTATCTTCTCTCTTAAGTAGTATTCTCTATATCAAAACTGTGCTCCGTTAGCTTCATTTAAAGCTTCAACTAAAGTTGAATTTTCTTAAAATTGCTTAAAGTGAAAGATTATTAAAATTTAAAGTTAAAAGATTATTTAATTTTAAACTAAGGGAATATGATGGACTTTCACGACTTAAAAAAAAAAAAAAAATTCATGAATGAATTTATGAAAAATATTTTTTTTTAGTAAAATTCTATAAAAATAGACATCGAAATTGTATACAAGTATATACAGCAAAAAAAGAAAAAAGAAAAGAAGAGCAAAGATAATAAAACAAATCACAATTTCAACATATCCATTTTTATAGCATTAATAGTTTTATACTAACCAAAAATTTTATTGACAATTAGGGAATTTTTGTTAAACTTTTTAAAAATCTGTGGTCCCTCACCTCCAATAAATCATTGCATCATATAATTTTATACAGTTGAATTAACTTTTTAAATACTAATATCACCAGTTTTATAAAATGGATATATAATTATTATAATCAAATTTCTCCAAAAATTTCTTCTGATAAAGTACAAAAGTTATAATAAAATTAACTTTCAAACAAGTTTTGGAAATTTTTTTGTTATGGATCGAGGTAAACTAAGATTTTGCTGCTCCACCGTAATACTGTTAAAAAAAGAGAAGAAAGAAAAAGAAAAAAGGAAATTGTTAAAATGTGAAATTAAGAACAGAAATTGCCCATTTCACTGAAATAAACAACTAGGACTTAAAAATTATACTACTGCATAAACTATGCTATTAGTCATAAGATTTACAAACAAAATTAAGTAGAAAATGTGTTTTAATACCTTTGCTCCACATATTTTACTTCCATTTGTCGGAAACCTGCATCAGCAGCCTGTAAGTCTACTTCTTGTTTTTTCAGATCTTTCAGTCGTTCAGCAGTAGCCAATTCTTTTTCAGCCATTGTCAACTGCTTAGCATCAGGTACAGGGCTCTTTTCAACTTTAGTCTATTAAAAATTCAAAAGCATTTTTTTTTTTTTTACTTATGCATTTATTGGCAACAGTGACTAGCTTGGAATTAGATGTAAAAATTCTTAGAATATTATATATATATATATATATATATATATATATATATATATATGCTTCAATTTAAGTTTCAAATTATAACTTTCTTTGTTTGAATCACTTTCTCTTCTCACTGCTTTTTCCTAAAAAATGTGACAGAATAGTACTTTGCTCAAAAATTGTTCTGGAACATTAGACTTGATAAAGGATATAACAAGTTTTAAAATAAAATACATACAAAGAGAAAGTAAACCCTTATTAAAAAAATAAAATAAAAATATTTCTCAAAGCCATATTACAAAGTAGAAAAAGAAAGAAATCAAATATGAACTCTTGGGCACGCAAGTGTTATCAGATAAGTGCAAGATGCCTTTACTTTATTCCTTTCTACAGTTGACTGTCAAACAAAGTTTCATTTTAAATAGCATGAAATAAAGTAATTAGTATTTTACAAGCATTTCTTAAGAATTCTCTAGGTATTAAAAGCAGTAATTTATTGATAGACAATCTGCTGATTGAAAGAAAGTCTTTTTATTAAAGCTCAACAAACTGATACAAAATAAAATTTCAGCACACTGAAAGACAATACCAATTTTTAACTAGGTACAGTATGTGCATGCTTAGGCATAGCAGATATTATATATACAAATTTCAAAGTCTTTGGCTATCTTGTGATATAGAAAGACTCATACCAGTGCCTTACTGTTTTAATGGTGACATGCTTCAGTGACTGATCATTCACTGTAATCCAGCTAGATTATCTATACTGGAGTATAATTTTTGCCCCATGACAAACAGAAGTTGATCAAAAAACTGAACATTCTATTTTCCACATCCATTGATGTATCAAAAAAAAAAAAAAAAAAAAAAAAAAAAAAAAACTTTATGTACAAACACTTTTGTTATAAGAGACATTTTATTATGTATTAATAATAAAGTAAAAACTGGTCTAACATGAACCAACAACTCAAAAACTCTTCAAAAGTCAGTCAAGCAAATAAGCCAATTCTGAGGTCATATATGATATAATGCTACCTGTAAGAAATACTAACCTCAACTGATTTCCGAGCATCTTTAAGGAATTGATCAAGTCCTGAAAGCATTGCCATTGGCTGTGGGGCATCGGATTCAGTTTCCGTTTCAGCATCACTATCAGATGAATCTTCAGCTAGGTTAATGACAACAGATGGATGTTTTGGCATCTTAGGAAAAAAAAAAAAAAAAAAAAAAAATCAGAACAATGATACAGCAACAAAATAAAAACAATTTCAAACTTGCTATCTAAGCTGAGTGTCTGCTAATGTCTAGAATTAGAAACAATTTCTTCTTACCACTTTTGGAGGATAATATGGCTTCTTCCGTTCTTGTTCAACTTTTTCTAAATGGAAAGGGGACTGGCTCCTGGACGAACTTGGTGAATCCTCTTTCAGTGAACTAGCCTAAGTAAGATAAAATCATTTAGCTGAATAGACCATATTCAGATTATATAACATGACTAAAGCAGATCTTATATTTTCTTAAAGAAAAATGTATGCTTTTTTTTACATTTTTTTTTTTTAAATGATTGACATTAGAAATATAAAAATTGTAAGAAATATATTGTACAAGCTCAAAAAGCAGTTGATAATCAGAAGTGAATAAAAATTACATTGTTGTGATATATAGTCTATAGAGATAGTTGTTCATTCTTAAGCTGAGGTTTATAATTCTACACAATGCTTTCATAATAATAGATTGCAAACAGAATTATCTCAGGTTTTTGGAATGGGATTACACATCAAGTAGGAGTCACAGTAATAAAAAAAAATCTCCAGCACAACATATGAGTGATAGTTTTGGTATACACAAACATCAATTAGTCACACTGCAAAATAATATAGACTCCCTCCTTTTTTTTTTTAGAAAATTTTTTTGATCAGACAATTATTAAATGTACATTTAAAATTTTCATTACTAATGACACTTATAAAAAAAGAACAGGTTCCATTTTAAGTTTTATTCCAACAAATTCCTTCGCATAACAGATGTTAACACAAAGCTTTTACCAATCACTAAGGCCTTTTTCGCATACATAATTTGTATTTTGGTTAAATAAATTTATCATTGCATGAAACATTGAACATTTTGATAGCAAAATACCATTTCTTCTAATATCTCCAAAGAATATAAAATCAATCCAGTTTAAAAAAAAAAAAAAAAAAAAAAAATGACAAAATGTAAGATTGATAGTTAATTCAATAATGTGGCTTAATCATCACAGATAAAGATCACTGCAATATAAGAAAACAAATCAATTTGACAGTTTTAATTTTAAGTTTTTAAACATTGATTTATCTGGATGATATAACTTTAAAAAAAACAGGCGTCCAGTTAGGTATGCTGTCCAGCAGAAAAGAGCTGCAAAAGTCAAGAGATTTTGTTTGTTCTGCTGTCTATATTTCTGCACAGCAAAAGCAAACTTAAAAAAATCTATCTCATTTAACTTTTTCAAACAACATTCTGAAGAAAGTATAAATATCTATGCTGATAATCCAACTATATATATATATATATATATATATATACACACACACACATTACTGCCTTAATGGTATGTTTGATCAGTATGATAAGGTCAAATTGTCAGCAGATCTATATATAAAAAAAAAAAAAAAAAAAATCAGACCTACAATCTGTTAAATGGAGCAAGAAATGGTTTATTAATTTTAATACCTCCAAAACGAAATTGCTCTTAGTTGTATTAGAAAACCTTTTTTGTCTTCAATCAACATGGTTGGTGCTAACCTACAGGAGAATGACTCATTGCACCTTCTTCGGCTAATGTGTTCAGCTGACATGCAAAAAGATTATATTGAATCAATTGCTAGGTTTGCCACTAGGAAAGTTGGATCACTGTTTTGTGCTAGACAATTTATATATTGTCATTTATATCAAATATGACATTGTGTCAATTTTCTCATTATTTAGGCTGGTCTGATTTAATCATTACTGATTCCATTAATATTATATTTCTTTTACTTCAAGACTACCTTATATGACATTACATTTATAATGATTTTTAACAAATTTAAAGCCAGGCACTTCAGTTATACACTGTTGGAATTGGCTTCTCATCCAATAGCACACCAGATGAAAAACTGACAAACTTTGATTATAACTTGATTGCTAATTGAGCTACCAAGAGAAATTTGGTACCATTTTTTGTCATGTTCTCTACTAAAGGTTTGTAGGTAAATTGAAAATAAAATGGATCTTTTCTGTTAATTCACCTGAAAATAAAAAGAATTTATATTTACTAAAAATAGTAAGTGTAGCAAACATGGACTTATTCTTCATTTTGGCATGGTGTCAGGTACTTTCGATTGTTTGCACATGAGCCAAGGTTTCTGGGTCAACAAAATTCATACTGTGATTGACAATCAGACAGACATATTTGGGATCATCCTTCAAAAAGGTATATCCTTTCCAACATAATTGTAGTAGCATGTAAAACAGCTTCAGATTGAGTCCAATAATGTAGAGACTGTTCTATATTCCAACAACTTCATGGCAAGCTAAACAAACTTTAATTTAAAATTATAATTTCTTGATGAATTAATATTTGTGAGAAGTAACTTTACAACAATTAGGATGAATTAACAGAAAAGATCCAATAAAATTTTAATTTGGAAGACCTACTAGAAGAACACCAGCCTTTGAAAATGAATGTTATTACATTAGTGTTGTTAAATCTCAGTACAGTTAAGAACAATTATTTATCATATAAGTCAACTATTATGAAGTTGTGGACAAATAGCATGATAAAATAAAGTACTTACCAGTATAGACTGTGGAGTATTGTTGTTGCTTGTGTCTTTTCTTCGGCTGGCCATAGATTGCAAAAGTTGTGCTCTGAGCAATTTTTCTTCTTCCTCATCTTCATCATAAGGAGGCTCGGGAGGCTTTTCAGCTTCAGGGTAAGGTTCTTCTGGCAGAGGGGGAGGAGGAGGTGGTGGCATGCTTAACAGAGTAGGCGGAGGAGGTGGTTGTGGTATAACAGGGGGATAAAGAAGATGGGCAACAGGGCTAGCAGATGTTTTATTGAGGCTGTCATCAGGTGGTAAAGGCGGAGGTGGTGGTGGTGGAGGTAGTTTCAGCCACCCTTCAGGGCGATCAGGCCATTCAAGCTTCAAATCCGAGAAATTCTGATCCGGAAATACATTGGGAAGCTAAATGAAACAGAAATAAGAGTAGCAATCAACAAACACAAGGTAAGACTTGAAATATCTACTTGAAAAAAGTCTATAATGGTAGAAAGTGATTAAAGACTGTCATTTAATCCAATTTTTAGTTTGGGACGACACTTTCATTAATGGCCATAAAATCTAGCATAAATTAAAATAAAAATCTGGTATTACAGGATTCTACGTATAAATCATTAAATCTGACCATCCACTAAAAAATTGGGCAGTGGCATCAATAGAATATTACAAAAAACAAAAAATATTTACCAGCACTTGGTCTCTTTTTATATCAATATCTTCAATCTCTGGTACTGTAGTTGTACCATCATCAGAATCTATATCCATGGCAACCTCTTCATAATTGTCCTGCAAGAGTTTGGATGTTTTTCCATCTCCTTTGGCATCAGATTTCTTGGATGAAGGAGACTGTAATAAATAAAAGCATTTTCAAAAGTTTCCCTTGATGGACACAAGATGGAAATGGTTCTAATAAATAAAGTACATCCATTATCGCCTGGTATGGAACAGATGCCACAGAATTGAGGATTCGTAAATTAAAAACACTGTACGATGTTTTGTTCTGAAAAACAAAATAGCAAGACCAAAGACATGCTGAAAAATGAAGATGTAAAATGAAATTGCAGTGTTCAATAAAGTTATATTTTTCAAGATTAAAAATTGCAGCATTTCTAGAACAAACATTTAAAATTGCAACTAATTTGTCATAAAAAAAATGTAGAAATTAAAACCAAATCAATTCTCTTCATATCTTTATTTATAAATGGTATGCCTTATACATGAATACAAAATACACTGATGACGTATTTGAAAGCATTCTGTCAAAGATCAAGAACCAAATGCAAACACCTGCTATTTCAAATAACAGTTAGATGGGGTTTTTTTTGGTTTTTTTATTTAAATGTATTCACAGGCACCTGAAAGCAAAATAACTTATTCTTTAACATAAATATTATATTAATACATAATTTATAGTACACATTTAGGGTCGCTCCGAAAGTAATGCATCCTATTTTATCAGGAAAATGTATTGGTAGTACAGTAATAGGAGAACCTTTCTGCTAAATAACCCATAACATTTTTTTTTTTTTTTTTTTGCTTTGTTACAAACAGTAAGTCATCCAGGATATGATGAACTACATCTGACAGATTGGACGTTTTAAGGAGCATGAAACCACCCTTTAATTGTTTTCGTTCCCAGGCCCATTGACCTGGGGTGATAGCATCTGATAGGCCCACAGACATGGGCAAATAATAAACCCTCAAGCAAAAACAAAACACTAGGAAATACATTTTTACAGTAAAATTATCAACAATACATATTCTGTAGTTGAAGGTATACAATTGCATCCAATATATATATTATAAATTTACTTATTTAAAAATGTTTCCATCTCTAGACAGGAATTACCAGGTTTCAAAAACAGAAGCTAAAAACTTCAAATTCAATTATAGAATTAAATTAAAGTCTCTAGTTCTGTTTCATTTTCAAGTGAATTTTGGAATAACTTATTTTGAAATTTACTTTGTTTTATATGCACATACATTCATTAATATTAGTTTTTATGGATATGGGGAAAACCAATCATTTTAACAAGAGGTGGTAGGGTATACTTTTTCACTGACAACTATTGTATCAACATATTGGTTACTTTTGAAAAGAGGTTAAGTCAAGGTAGGGTTGGGGTGCCTTTTTCAAACGAATGATGACATCTGTTTAATGAATGTCATCCAGTCTTTTTTGGCACTTTTCGACATTAAATCTTTACATAAAGATTTTTTTCTAAAAGGGTTGTTTGTATATAAATGTCATATTGAACTACAATTTTAAAATATTATTCTTACTTTTAATCAAAGACTATACATCTTTTAAAACAAGTAAATGTAATAGAATTACTTAAATCATTTAAAAATTATTATTTAAATATCAAATATAAATATGTATATTTCATTTATCAGTTTTTATTTTTATTTTTTTTGTTAAACATTATTTAAGGAAAATTTTTGACAATGTAGCCAGTGAATAGCTATTTCATTTCTTTAAGTAAATTATTATTTTTTATAAACTTCATAATATATAGTTTCTCATGTATGCACAAAGGACATGGGTCATTTAATTACCTACTTATTTTGTTTTATGTTTTCTTATTAATTTCCATTTCACAGTAGGTGTTTTATTGGGTTTTTTTAAGTGCCAAAAATATTTTGGGATTTATTGATAAAGAACAGACGGATGTCATAGTTTGTTTGAAAAAGGCACCCCTACCCTACCTTGACTTAACCTCTTTTCAAAAGTAACTAATATGTTGATACAATAGTTGTCAGAGAAAAAAAGAATACCCTACCACCTCTTGTTAAAATGATTGGTTTTCCCCATATCCATAGAAACTAATATTATGAATGTATGTGCATATAAGACCCAGTAAATTTAAAAATAAGTTATTCCAAATTTTGCTTGGAAATGAAATAGAACTAGGGATTTTAATTTAATTCTATAATTGAATTTGAAGTTTTTAACTTCTGTTTTTGAAATATGGTAATTCCTGGGTAGCGATGGAACCATATTTTTAAATAAGTAGATTTATAATATTTATGTTCTGTAGATTTGCATTGAGCACCGTTTTGTAAAAATAAAAATATTAAGAACACCAGATTATATATCTTACTGTTCTTTTTTCTAATATATATATATATATATATATATATATATATATTATATATATATATATATTTTATAGTGGCAGCCATAAAATCATTTCCAAAATATTCAGATTTCGGCATTAAATAACCTATAGTGGTTGATATGCCACTAAATAAAACCAATCAACCAACAGTGAGCATAACTCAGGCAAAATAGAACCAGGCATGGAAGAATGGCACTAAATTCCTCGACACAGACTGTTTATAGTAGGTGGTGGTTAATGCTACTCAGTAGTAGTGGCAACTGCTACATTATGAGCTCAACACAGCCGTCAACCCTTGAAATGAAAACTGCTTGAATCAGCTCATCTGCAATAGTAGTGGCTATATGAAAAAATAAGGTTTTGAGCTGAAACCGCTCCAGTCAATTGCTTTATTGTGCTCTCAATTGAAGATTCTGTGAGAATAGGCGTATTAAATAAATTGAACTCTACACTAAAATAATGTGCATTTAACAGATTTTGAACTGCAATACACCAGATGGGGTTGAAATATTCTGAAAGTAAATTGTGTGAATAAATTAGTCTGAATGAATAATAAATTTGCAAAGATGATTTTGGTAAATCAAATAGTTTGATAATTTTCTGATATAATCATTGAGAAATGCACAGGTGTACAAGGCTTACTTTGCTATGGCTGAGCCGGAAACTAGGAAAGTCTTTTTTCCGTTCCCTAACAAACTTCGCCAGCTTCTCCAGTTGCTCCAATGGATCGTGCACTTCCAAAATTTTGCATACATCTCTACGTTGGTCATCAGCAAGCAGCTGCTTTTTACGATCAACTCCCAACTTGGAACGTCGAGATCGGTCGGATTGATTAATAAATCGTGCAAGATGAACCTTCCTACGTGGAGCACTACTGCAGGGTATTCGATCTCGAAGTACTGAAAGCAGAGTATAAAAGGTGAAAAAATATGAAAGGAAAAAATTTCATTTCCAGGTTAAAAGTACAAGTTCATGAGGGAGTTGGAGGAAATTGAACCAGTTTAAAAAAAAAAAAAAAAAAAAAAAAAAAAAAAAAAAAAAAAAAGCGAACATGCTTTTATTCAGAAAAAAGAATTTTTGAAGTCACATTCAGATAAACAAAATTTGTTTTTTTTTTTTCCTCACTTCTGAAGACAAATAGAACATGTCTTCTCAAAATGAGAAAAAGGAATAATTAAATTAAATTTAGCAACAGAGAATAGTCCACTCTTATCAAGAAATGAAGTCTAAGACCCTCAAGTGAATGCCTGAAACTGCAGTTGTCTATATACTAGGTTTTTCCTAAACATGCATACCTTAATTTATAAACTAGGCACAATATGACATTAACAACAATATGCTGCAATGAAAGTTACAAGATGGAGATTTCATTTTTACTGTGTGTTTTACTCTTAGCAACCTCAGCATACAATTTCTCCTTTCCTTATTGTCACAAACTTTCATTACCCTTGTGCTTTGGAGCCATTAAATAAACCTTACAAATTGTTTATTTTTAGAGCTGACTGTGGGTAATAAACTGCAGATAAGTAGGAGCTGGTGTAAGCCATTGTATCCTCAACATATATCTACCATTAAAATACAAGGAATATGCAATATTCTGTGACTTAAGTGGTTATTGTAGCAATCAGACATGTAGATACTAGTCACAGGGCTCTTTCTCAAACTATGACCTTTATGCTTTAAAGAAAAAGTCATCGTTAAAGCAATATTTTAGAGGTATTACTTGTACATTTTATGGTAAGAAATATAGTATTGATATAGTGAGTGAAGTAGATTTTGGGCAATACAAGCTTTTCAGGTTTTTTTTGGGTTTTTTTTTTAAAGAGAAAAATGTTTTATTGGTAAAATAAAAACTGAAAATGATCTAAGTCATTATCTGCATCCATTTTTAAACAAAAACAAATTTTTGAGAAAAAAAGTCACATTTTTCTTTTTAACAACTATTTTAAGAATTCTTCTCTGAATTGAAACAGCCTTAAAATAACAGTCATTGTAGAGATAACTGGATTTAAGAAATGGAATTTTTGTAAAGGATAAAAGTTAACCCACATGAAAAAACACGTACTTGAAAACTCAGCGTAAGAGGACTAGTAAAGATTTAGTAAAAAAAAAAAAAAAAGAGAGAGGAAAAAATCCACCTTCTCTTGAATAAGGTTAAAAAAAAAAAAAAAAAAAAAAAAAAAGTTTTGGGAACATTAGCAAAAAAATGAAAGCCATTTACCAGACGGTTCCCTCTTTCGCGCTGATCTTGCAAGTCTGGAACTGAGGCTGTTGGAGAATGAACGGGAATGCCTAACTGAGGTTGTCCTTGACATTGATTTGTCATGCTTTAATGAAGACATAGTAGATTTTGGTTTATTACTGTCTGTGGAGGCAAGCGCTATGCGGCGTAATTCTTCCAACTCCAAATCTTCATCATCCATTTTCTGCAAGAACAGTTTTGTTTTTCAATTTATCTAAAAATGTGTATATCATAAATATACAAGACAAGGATCTATTACATGTAAATAAATTGGGTTTAGTACAGATTTGAAAGGCCTTTTCTTCTCTAATTAAAACTTTTAATAATCTTAACAGTGTCTGAAAAGAAACAATTTATAGTTGCCACCATTTAAAAAGGTTTCCTTAACAAATGCTGTAAATAATTCTGGTATTTATTAAATTGATTTGTAAAAGTTTGTATAGTAATGAAAACTTGTACAGAAGATCATTTCATATTGACCTTTTAGAAAGATGCAATAAAGAGAATGAGTAAAAATCAGTTGTAATAGGCACATACCATTTTCTTATCATTTTTGGAATTTTCGGATACAGATGCAGCATCCATACTGTCACCAGCCTCTGAACGTTTGATACTGGGAGAGCTATCTCCTGGAGACTGGAAACACCGATGGGAAATTGACACTGTCCTGTAGGAACCATCTTGTGTAATGTATTGAGCTTGATGAGACATTCCACTGTTGGTGTTCTCATCGGTGTAATTCAAGTCAGAAAGCCCACATGTAGCTCGATCTTCTTCCTCTCGTAAACTAGCCAACTGTTCCTGGATATTACGATATTTTTCCAATAAATCCTCATAATTGCCATCATCTTTTAAGCCTGGAGCCTGGCCGCGACTGCCACAGAGGAACTGTGAACCACTTTGTTTCCGCAAATAACGTTTTTTTTCCCAATCTTGAAAGCATATAATCAAGGAAACATACATTTTCATAAAAGGCTCTTTGCAGTGCCATCAAAAATTACTCATAGTTTTAACTATCCTACTCCTGTCTGTTTAATAAAGTTTTTGTTGTTATAATAATGTTAGAAATATAGTAAATATAAAAGAAAACACTTGGATATCAGGGAATAAGTTAAGAGGTTATAACTGACCTGAGTTTTCTAATAGAATATACTTTATAATAAAAAAAAAAATTCATTAATGAATAAGCATTGAAATTCTAAATAAAATTGAATATTTCCTTATTTTCTGTATTTTTTTTTTTTTTTTAATCTCAGTGCAAGATTTTCATATTAAAGTGTGTATATTTGGAGATGACACAAATGTTTTATCACATTAGTGAAAAGGAATTAATAAATAAAAGGCAAATTAACAATCAATAATTTTATAATCTTTTTCCTTTTTTTTATTCCTTTTATTAGTTTAAGAAAGTGAAAATGGTTTATTCAAAGTTTAAATATTCATTAACTTTTTTTTTTTTTTTTACTTCAAAGAAAACCATTTTCTTGATTGTGGTAGATTTGGGCTTCTATATTTGATTTGATTTTGGTACAATTTTTTTGAAAGTAGGTGGCAGGGTTGAAAGAGAATTGTTTGACCTTTGAATGTGTTGGAGTGGGTGTGTTTTCAGTTGTATTTTAAGCAAAAAGTAACATTTTTACAAAATCTAGTTAATTAATCCATATATTTACTATTTTTTTTTTTTTAAACAAATGTCTAGGACAGATATTGGATTTTTAAATATTTCACTTTTGGTGGCATCCATCAAATTAACTAACTTTTACTTTTCGTTTAAAAAAAAAAAAAAAAAAAAAAATCTAAAATCTTATTATAAAAGGTGTAAAATTATTTTCCGTTTTATGGATTAAATTTAGACTATTATCTTTCAAATCAAACCAAAATTTAACATTAAAGCATACATTTAAATTATGTAAAAAAAATTTTTTTAGCTTTATTTTTTTCTGAAGCATGTGGAGGTAAAGAAGAAAAAAAAAAAAGAAAGAGTCTATTAAATATGTAATGAGACGTGATCAGGTGTGAAAATGTAGATTTGCCTCAACTGTTAGCATTATTGGGAACTAATATTAAAACCAACTCCTAGGAGTCCCAATTAAATCACAAGGGTAAAATCAGAAATAAATCCAAACAATCAGTGAGTTATGTACCATGCGTGATACACACTTAGGCGATCATGTATCTTTCAATACATGACTGACAAGGCAGATGTACCCCACCACAGTAGGTTGCCATTTCTTTCTGTGGTAGCCCAGTTTCTATATAAGGCTATAGAACCAGGTCTGTCCTGCTATTTACCCATAGCTGGTGGGGAAAACAAGGATTCATACCATTCCCAAGGATATTAACATGCAAGTGAAGGTTTTAGACCTTTTTAATTAGGTACTACCACAGAAAATGTGATACCTAAAATTTAAAATTAATTTTTAAAAATGAAAAAACCTTTCTTGAAGCTTTTATTTTAGTTTTAATTTCAAGCTAATAGATTAAGTTTTATATTTACAATAAGAAAAACAATTTGATGTATTTCAAAAACCAAATTAAATTGACTGGAAGGAGGTATTTTTTTGGCTAAAATATCTGGTTATATATTTACATATATATTTACACAAAGATGCTAAATTTCCCATACAAATCTTTTGCCCATCCACTGATGCAAGGAAAACAAAATATTTAACCAAAATTTTGAATGTGGTAGAAAGGATTTAGAAATTTAATAAAATATTCAAAAGATACTTTGGTCTTTCCTCTTAATAATAGCAAACATTTTGACATTTAAAAACATTTGACTTTTATCAGGTTTGAGGCCTTTCTTATCATGGTATGATTTTTTTTTTGGAGGTACCTATCTCTAAGACAACATTATTGACAAAAAAAAAAAATGAAAAATTTCAAAATCTCTTAAAAATTCAACAATTTAGGTATGCTCAATAATTTACAGAAAAACAGCATAACATGATGAAAAAAGGTCCCAAACTCACAAACTTAATAAAAAAAACAAAGTTTTATAATAAGAAAATTTGTTAATAAGAGGAAAGAGCAAATGATTTTTAATTATTTTCTAAAATTTTTTTATTCCTTTCTAGCACATTTGAAATTTTGGTTGAAATTTTTTTTTTTTTACGTCAATGGTCATGTAATATTTAGCATCAATTTTTTTTATTTTCTTAGCACTTTTGTAAGTTGAAAAACACATTAATTTGGAAATTCTTGCAAAAATCAAAATTGTCGGATTTTAATGAAACTTTCAGAACTTATTCAAAAATGAATTAAATTATTTTAGAAATATGTTTCTTAGAAAGTCATGGTAAATTTTTTTTTTTTTTTTGACATCTGTTACCCCTCCAACTTTACTTAATTTTATGAAAACTTTAATATGTATATCTCTCTAATTTTTTAATTAAATGTAGAAGACTGAAGAATATAAATCATCAATTTTAAGTCAAGGAGCGTTTCTGGCCAAACTTTAGCTCTGAATTGTAAAATACAAAACCCAATAAAACTAAGACATTATTTAATTAAGAAAGCTTTTAATGGCTTTTATGAATAATATATATTAAGCACATTGTCTAAAGCCAAAATATTTTTTCAATGAAAAATGCATTTTTACTAGAATTGTTTTCATTTTTTTTCAATTTTAAATACAAAATGTGATAAAGTTATTAAGTTTGAATATGTATCTCTGGAAAGGCTCTCATTAAAAGATCTATTTTTACAGAAGCATTTCTATTTTTAGAATAATTTTTTAATATGCCAAAAATTGTATTAAAAACGTTTCTGGCAAAACTACAGAGGTAAAATTCAGAAATAATGTCCCATGTTTTAAGATTTGTTTCTCCTGATAGTGAGGGTCTGGCCTCTAATTTGCGCTGATTTCATGTCAAATTCTCTGACTGACCAACCATCATCCTCAAATTTTCAAATTTTCTTTTTAACGTATTTCACTAAATATTTTCTTTACATTTTTTTTTTTTTTTTTTTTTTTAAATATAATCAATTTTCTTTTTTCAGTGAGAGATCATTAATTTTTTGTTTTTAGATTCAATTTTAGAGATGGAAACTGTGAAGGCTTTGGACATATCTTCATTAAAAAGTACATAAAAAAAAAAAAAAAAAAAAAAAAAAAAAAGATCAATATTAGACTTTTGAAAGCATTTAATTTTTAAGAATTACTTTATAGTTAAATAAGCTAATTCACTTAAAATTAAAAAATACTGACACTTCTGCCTGATAAATTACCCTGATGTTAGTTGGCATAAATGTCAATTCACACCTCCAAAACCATTCATGATGGTTAGACATGCTTCTTTTATTTCCAACTAAATTTTTTCTAAATATTAACTATGTTTGTTTAAAATTACATTAAGTATAATTTAAAGTTTCTAATTTTTCTCAAATAACTTTTAAAAAAGTATAATAGAATTTTACAAGTTTTTCAAATGGAGAATCTCACTTTTGTTTACAAAGTTGCCAAAAATGGCTGACATGATTGATTTTATGTAAATTTTGTTAATTCAAAAAAAAAAAAAAAAAAAAAAAAAAAAAGATTTTTAACTAAACTTTTGTACATGCTAAAAAGGATTATAAAAATCTAGAAAATATTAAAAAATATTTTGGTCTTTCCTCTTAATAATAACAAACATAATAAAAAATTGTTTGGGTCTTTTTTCATCAGGGTATGCTCTTTTTTTAGTGAAGTGTTGAACATACCCAACCTACAGATTTGTTTCCAAGTAAATTAAAGGCTTAATTAACAGGGTTTTTCTTTGGTTTTAAAAAAAAAAAAAAAAACCACCTCATGCTTAAAACATAGCAAAAAATAACATTTATGTATGCATGGAGCTATCATCAAGATTATAGTGGGGGGAAGCTTAAGTATGGAGGGCCAAAACTACTTGAAACTAGAAACTTAAATAATCTTTATCTGTATATAACCAATAAATTAGAAATAATTTTTCTGACTATAGGCTTTATGGAAGTTAAAAAAAAAAAAAATAGTTAAATACTTAGATGATACTTTTCTTGCCCATTGCATTTATTTTTTTGTTTATTTTCCTACCTATTTTCTATTTGGTAATATAAAATATCTGATTGAACCCAATGACTATTTTTGAATGATTCTAATTTAAAAATTTAAAAAACGTGCTTTAAAAAAAATAAATAAAAATAAATATTGAATATAATTTTTTTTCTATCAAATCTGAAAGTTGTTTTATTATGTGAGTGAGCACCAACTCTTAAAACAAAACAAAAAAAAAAAAAATTTTTTGACTTAATGAATTATGTTTGGTAATGTTCGAGACGGATTTCCGTATGTCCATGATAAAAATTTTTTCTTTTGAACCGAAATATCATCTTTAGTGTAATGAATAATTAAAAAAAAAAAAAAAAAAAAAATGACCTATTCAGCATAAAATTCAATTAAATTCATTCATTAATAAATACTGAAAATTTAACTTCGGATATTCCCAGATTTTAAATTTTTTTAAAAAATACTGAGTTTTTGGGGATTTTTTTTTTAGCTTTCATTATAGAAAAATGCAAATAAAAATAAATCTACAAAAATAAAATGGCATGGGATTTATTTACTTTTTATTTCTCTAATTAAAATATTGTGACCAGAATGTATCTAAATTTGCAAAATAAAAATAAGTGTTTCCATAATCTAAGTATCAGTATTTCTTTTCTTTTTTTCAGTTCTTCAAATAAATGAAAAACGAACTTTACTGACGATAGTTAAAAATAAAATTATATAATTTCAACTAGCGTCATTGAAGTTCATTTACCATCCGAAATGCAATATAATTTTTTTTATTTAATAATTTTAAACAGCATTTCGGACGGTATTTTTCATTTTAACTAATGATACAGGAAGACCCCGCTATCTTTTAATACGAATTCTGAGAATTTTTGGCCACAAGCGTGAATTAAAATTTCAGTTTTTACTGAAAAAAAAAAAAAAAAAAGTTTTTTGTTTAACTTTTTAGTTTTTAAAATAAAAAAAAAAGGGTTAAAATACGAGTCTAGTTCAAGAGACATTTACTTGCGAGATAACGCTAAAATTTTATTTTTAAAAGTAAAAAAAAAAAAAAAAAAAAAAAAAAGATAATCAGTAATTATTACTGAATTTAATTAACTTTAAAAAAATAAAGAGAAATGAAATGTGAGATATATCTCCACTTGAAATAATTTTTGCAATAGCAAAGAGAAGCTGAAGCAAAAAAGACAGGAAATTTTAGCGAGTCATGATCGCCCACGTCCTCAAAGAAAATGGTAAAAAAAAAAAAAAAAAAAGTATCATTGAACATGAGAAATATTGAGAATTACTTTCTGACCACATTTAAAAAATTGAAACAATGGATTTAGTGTCCGCCCCTCCCCCTTTCTTTCTAGCTTTAATTTTTTGGCAGTTAAAAATAATACTAGGAAATTTTAAACTTTCACTATAATTTTTTTTCTCGGAAATCGTAAAAATATTTTTTTATTAAATAAAAAATAAAATAATACACTTCAATTATAACTGAACGAGAAAGTCTTTCTTTTTAATTAAACTGTTTAATCTCAATATTTAAAATTGATAGCTAGTTTTGTTTACTCACGCGCCTTTGTTGCTTCATTTTTTAAAGAAATTTGACACTTAATGAAGTTCATAATGAATTGAAACTGATACTTTTTTTTTTTCAACTGAACAGAAATACTGCAATATTTCATCATTCAAAAAAAAAAAAAAAAAATAGAAAGAGAATTCACACAAGTAAGAATAAAATGCTGATACATCATTTTTAAGGGTTTTTTTTTCATAAAACTTTATTTAAAAAGCTTTATGCACCACTAATAAAAATAATAAATACACGAACGAATTTTATTAAGCTCCAAAAAAAAGAAAAGACGAATGAATGAAAATTGTCAAAATACGAAAACGTCACTGGAGGAAGAAAAAAAAAATCAGGCTACAGTAGCATTAATTTTCTTTTACCATGCAGATCGAATCATACGCAATAACAGACGGACACAAAGTAAGGCTCTGGGTTCCAAAGGTCGCATTACTATTGATAACTTTGTAAATTTTATATTTATTTACCAAAAGGAATCATGTACGATGTTTATGACAATAGAAATGTTATTGGTCGAACAAATTATTATGGAAGATGATGTCATGCAAATTTTAGCTGCTCTTTCACAAGTGTACGTTTTCTGCCAATTGTCGCGTGACTTTTGGAACACCCTTTACTTTTTAAAATAAATTGAATCCCCAATCCAACCCCAACTTTAAAGTCACTTTACACACCACCCAGTTTTCATTTCATTTTCCTCAAAACCACAACATTCTCAGGAGAAATGAAGTGCGTATTATTCGGATTAAAGCAGACCAAACTATATAAGGAAAAAATACATTTTTATAAAAAAAAAAAAAAATAATAAAATAAAAAATACTCCACTTTTTACTAAACCGAAGAAAAAAAATAAAAAGAAAAAAAGAAGGATACATGGAAAATGACTTCCAGGTGTTTGTGGTCCTCTACGACTATCGGGCCAAGACCCAACAAAGGGCAGTGGACGGCCCGAGGGTGGACCCGATATATTTCCGGGTCCTGCAGGTGGTCCAGTACTTAGTCCTCTCGAGGGTGTCGGCTGATTTGCAGGATGATGGTGATGATGATGATGATCCCACGGAGGTAATGACTGTGGTGGAATTCGAGATGGGCCTGTGGGCATAGCCCCAAGGGGTGGCGCCCAGTACCCACCGCTGATTCCACCGATATTAGTTGACCCCAGATCGGAACAATTTTTTAACGGAATTCTCTCCGATCCACACCGGGGTCCATTAGTATTATTATTACTATTATTATTGTTTCCAGGTATAGGTCGTCTCTTGTTGAAATAAGGTCCTATATCCCTCCTGCTGAGAGGAGACGGATAGCCTCCAATCCGAGAATCATCTGGACGCTTTCTTTTGTTTCCTATATACCTATTTTTACTATACTGTAGCGAGGACGAATGGTGATTTTTATACGAAGATGTCGATCGTTCTGCTTTTTCGTCTTTACTACTCTCTTGTAAAGAGTTGTTGCCATTTAATTCATCGTCTTCGTCATCAGACAATTCACCTTCTTCCTTTAAAGAAATATCGTTCGGTTGCGATGCGGAGTCTTCCATATTTAAACTTTTTTAGGATTGACCACGTTCAGCGTTTCTTACCGTGTAAAATACAATATCAAAATGGCGGAATTACGTTATTTACTCGATTCTCTCCCCTTAATAGTAGTAAATGTCACGAGATGGCGCTAAACTTAAAAACCACAAATACGTTATTTTAGTAATGTGTCAGCATGGGAGGTGCTCAAGAATTTCCGCTAATCAAAGCAAAATCTTGGCGTGTGAAATTAGTTTCCTCTCTCGACACACACATAACTTATGGAATAGAAAATATCACCAGCCACAAATGACGTTAACTATTTCGATACGGAAACAGAATACTAATGTATTAAGAGGCAGAATTCAAATTCCAGGCTGTTACATTATCGTCGCGCTAAATTCGCTTAGGAAAGTCAAAAATTCTCCCGACTAGTTAGATGAGTGAAAAAAAAAGAAAGAGGACTGAGCATAACTTTTTTTTTTTTTTTTACAGTGTACAAGGCCTGGAGACACTCGAGGTAGAGGGTTACAGCATAAGAGGCACAGTTTTGTAGCAGACCCCCTGAAGTGGGGAGTGACATGAAACCACGGCCTGAGCGCCCCCGTGTCACAAGGTGATGAGGTCACAAGGGGCCCGCTAACATTTTTCATATTAAAGATGCGAGATCTGACGATGTGAAACAAAATGGACAACAGAACAAGGATATGTATGATTAATGCTAAGTTTATTATATAAAGAAGAAACCAGTGGCGTATAGTGGTAAAGGTGGTCGGACTGGTCGTGTTGAGGGTTGGATTGGTCATATCAATGGTTGGACGTTGAGATCGACAACAGAATGCTGAGCTGCAGACGTTCCGGTCGTGTCAACAGTTGGAGTCGAGGGAGAAAGTGAGGAAGAAAATCTAAGTGTCATGTAGCTTGGTGAGAAAGAGTGTAAACATTACATATCTTCGTGAGGAAAAGTGTAAGTGTCATTTAGTTTGGTGAGGAAGACCATGTGCATCAAGTAGCTTGGAGTAAGGGAATATCTTTGAAGCTGACAGGATAAATTGATCTTGCATGTATCCATCTCTGTCTCCTCCTTACTGTTTTGGCCGTTTAGAGACTTTGCTTAAATACTTTTCAAAGGGATCATGAAGCATATTTCTTTATTGTCATTGGGAGCACGACCCGTTAGTAGGAAAATGTTAAATATTCATTTCAAAAAATTAATTTATTAACTGGATGCGGATCCTTCAACTCAGAAACAATTTTTGTCATTTGATGATTGATTGTCTTGGTGTTTATTTTTGTTTTCACTCCACAGGTTAAGTGAGGTGGTTTAGTTTGGTTTGGTTTATTTTGTTTAACAGCATATCAACCTCAATGTGTTATTTAATGCTGACAACATTTTTAGGATAGATTCATATGAATAGAATATGTATTCTTTGGTTTAGATTGGTTTGGTTTATTTTGTTTAACGACATATCAACCTCAATGGGTTATTTAATGCTGACAAAATTTTTTATTGCTGGTAATATTTTGTTTTGTCAAAAGTCTGTTTCTGGTAATATATTTCCTTCAAAATTGTACTGCTGGTAATAATTTTTTTCAACAAAAGTATTGCTGGTAATAGTCAACTATTTGCCCATAGCTGGGACCCTAACATGGTGCTAACAGGGACCCAGCAATTAAGAGGTGGTTCCACACTCCTCAAAACCTCCTGATCAGAGACCTTGCTGCTGGATGTAGTTTAACATCTTACCCAGGATGAGTTAAGTAAGGTGGGTTGCTAAAGTAGCTCTAAAGTTCCCTATTCCATTTCTATATATGTGTTTTAATTTGATTCTATCATAAAATGAATTAAAAAATTAGATCTATTATCCTACTTAAATCATTTGTTTTTGTATTTTATATATTTTTTTAGCTAATCATTTTATTTATTTCCTGGAAGATCTTTTTCACATATAAGACTTATTTACTGTTAATCAACATGACGTTGTCTCCCTTGTACCTTCTCCAAGATTGAGGTATGACTGAGGCGGAAACACAGGGGTAGCTATTATTAGTTATCACCACGAGTTGTTCAGAGGTCGCTGAATAAATTCTTTCTCCCCACACACGTCTTGTTAGAGTCATTTATTCAAATTCATATTGGTAGCAGAGTGTTTAGATATGAAAAATGGCTTCTAAGTTTATTTCCCCACTTGTCTTAAACATGGACAAGTACAATACTTGGAAAAAAGAAATGCAAGTGTGGGAGCTTGCCACCAGCTTAATGATACAGAGATGCACCCTAATAGTACTTCTATTCTTGGAAGGAAAGGCCAGGGAAGCTGTACTAGAATTGGACATTGCCACCCTAAATGCCGATGATGGCATGGAAAAGGTATACCAAAAACTGCACACACTTTTCTTGGAAGATGCAAACCAGGCAGCTTTTACAGTGTATCAATCCACACAAGACAGAGTACTGATTTGATTGATGATTTTCTTACCTGCTTCAATCGTCACATTGCAAAATTAAAGGAACACAAAATATCACTGCCTGAACCAATTCTCGTGTATAGGACATTAAAAAGTGCAAATCTCACCCCAGAGAATGAATGGCTGGTGAAAGCCACGGTTAAGGAACTTACTCTTAAAGAAATCTCTAAACAGTTAAAGAAGATTCTGTATAGACCATTTTGCAACGCTTTGTCACCCACCACTCCTCCAGTCCTGGTGAAAAATGAAATGGATGTTGCTTTCAGCATGGATAACCAGGAGGAGAAGTCTAGTGGGACATTTTACAATCGTTGTTCAAACAGAACTTCTCGCTTTTCTGGTCAGTGAGGTAATGGCAGGAGAGGTTGTAACAGAAATTCAACACGCACCACTGATAAAAATTTAAACCCACTAGGACCTGAAGGCAACACTACTAAATGTTTCACATGTGGATGCAAATTTCACTGGGCTCGTGAATGTCTTTACACAGAGGATACCTCGCATAAAAAGGGAGACAATGAAAACATACTCATATCTAAACTTGTGCTGATGAGTCAGCAAAAGTGGGAAGATGGTGCTAACACATTTTTGGGTGAAACACTTGGCTCAGTTGTCTTAGATTCTGATGCCTCTTGGACTGTTTGTGGAAAGAAATGGTACGAGTGTTTTCTTGAAACCATACCAGAAAAACAAAAAAAAATATATAAAAGTTCAAGACAAAGTGAGAACATATAAGTTTGGTGATGGAAACAAACTCAAATCCATCTACACAGTCACTCTACCATGTGTCATTGCCGGCATTGAAGTCAGTATTGTAACTGACGTTGTGGACTCTGACATACTACTTCAGTTAAGCAAAATTTCCATGAAGAGAGCCAGGACATGCCTCAATTTTGAGAATGACACTGTCACCATGCTGGGGAGAAAAGTCCCCATGTAGTGTACTTCATCTGGTTAGTACCACATCCCTATTAGCAGGCCTCTATCAGACTGAGGTATGATCAAGCAAATTCTATTTATTAAAGAAATTGCTAGTAAAAATAGACTAGAGAAAATTAAAATTGCCACAAAGTTGCATAGAAAATTCAGTCACCCTAGCAGTAAAAAGCTATGTGATTTAGTGAGAAATTCTGGAATGAGAGATTCTGAATTTATTAAAATTCTACAAGAACTTCCTAATTCATGTGAAATTTGCATGAGGTACAAAAGGGCTGCACCTAGACCCATTGTTGGATTCTCATTAGGAACCTATTTCAATGAGAGCATTGCCATGGACATCAAAGAAATTAATGGCAACAAGGTACAGCACCTAATTGACCATGGTACAAGATACAATGATGGAGTCAGGATTCCTAGTAAGGAAAGTTCTGACATCATTAATACCATCTTCAAACACTGGGTTGCGTATTTTGGAACTCTGGGATTTATTCTCACTGATAATGGCAGAGAGTTTAATAACCAGTCAATTAGGAATATGGCGCAAAATCTAAACATTCTGGTATGTACCACTGCTGCTGAAAGCAATGGGTTAAATGGAACAATGGGATATTAACCTTAATGCTTGCATGCCAAAAATACTTCACAGTGCGGATACAATCCCAATCAAGTTTTTGCAGAAATCCCAACCTGCTTTTCTAAATGACAAACTTCCTGTATTGAAAATTGTTTCCACTAGTGAAGTTGTTGCAAATAACCTAAATGCTATGCATGCTGCCAGGAAACAATTCATAGCATGTGAGTCCTCAGAGAAACTAAGACATGCACTTCGTCTACAAGTTAGAACATGTATAGCACAATCCTACAAAAATGGCGATGCTGTCCTTTACAAAAGAAACCTGTGTGATAGATGGCATGGTCCAGGAACTGTCATAGGGTGGTAGCATAAGCAGGTGCTTGTCAAACATGGTGGCACATATGTAAGGGTATATCCATCTTGTTTAACACCCTTTCCTGAGACATATTGAAGTTCTGAGGACAGCAACAATCAACCTATTACCTCACAGAAAAGCATTTGATGTATGTGGTTATGGAACAGGGTGAAATTTTTTGGCTGGACTTTGAGCATGGGGTATCAGAGTGGCAAACAAGTGAGGTTGAGGAAACTGAACATGAA